GAGAAGGGAAACTGTATGGAAATGGAAGGAGACCCTCATTGTTACACAAAATTACATATAAGAGTTTGTGAGGGGAAAGGGAAAAAAAAAACAAGGGAGAGAATTAAACAACAGCAGATGGGGTAGAGAGGGAAGATGAGTTGGAAGGGGAGGGGGGATAGTAGGGGATAGGAAAGGTAGCAGAATACAGCAGTCATTAATATGGTATTATGTAAAAATGTGGATGTGTAACTGATGTGATTCTGCAACTTGTATTTGGGGCAAAAATGGGAGTTCATAACCCACTTGAATCAAATGTATGAAAGATGATATGTCATGAGCTTTGTAATGTTTTGAACAACCAATAAAAAAATGATCTGAACTCCTATTTTATTAAATAGATCAGTCAGGTTTGTCATAATAGCTTTCTTATTTATCCAAACAGATATACACGTTACCTTTGTTTCTCAGAGATCTGGAAAGCAAATAAAGATCCTCAATAAGAAGTTTTATGTACTGGGGCTTAGTGCATAATAGCATACTTGGATGAGTGGATTTATACCAGAAATGAGAAGTTTATTGTGTGCTTAGGATGCCTCAAACTATATTAAGTGAGGGTATATAAGTGTGTGCATGTGTGTCTGTCCTGGCTCTATCTCTGTAGGCCACCCATCTCTTGTGAGCCAGTTTGCTTGTGACTTCTCTCTGTGGGTCCCCATGACAGTCATTAGAACAATACTCCTCATCAGCCTGCTTTTCTTTCGTGTTCTTCACGCTGATTGCAATGAGCCTTTGCCCACCCCCCTCACGTTCTTCTGGAGCATATCATGTAAAACATGCTTTGTTGGATGAGCTATAGTTTACTCCAGTCTGACAATTAAAACTCTGTATTTTTTTTTTCATTCCTTTCATTCTGGGGTGGCCATTTTTATTACTGCAAACACATGTTCTTGAAATGCACATTACAGCAAATTTGGTATGGCTTGGGAATTTTGCCTATTTCCCAAATTTCTTACACAGGCACTCTCATGGCATACTTTTAATACCATGGGGAAACAAAAAACATAAAGAAGAGTTCTTTAAATGCTCTGCAACATTTAAATGTTTGGCTTTTTCCTGACAAGTCATTTGAATAACTGTCTCAATTTTATCCTCAGATCATGATAAACCGTCAGAAAGCCATATATTTTGACATAATTGTTTTGACATCACCCTTAACCCCACAACCTGTGGGATATATTTCATTGAGTAGAATTTTGGATGGGCTATGAGTAACTAGGAGAAATGGATCTTGATACTTCAATTGTAGGAATGCTGCAAATAATTATCATCCACAATGTAGATCAATAGGCAAAATATTATCTGCATCTCAGATAACTTTGATATTGTAGTATCAAATTTTCTTTCTAAGTGGTGTAGAATAAAGTAGTATATTTTGAAAACAATAAGTATAACTACTTGGCCTCTGGTTCATTTCTTAATGTATGGTTTGCTGTTAATGGTATGGCTAAGACCATTACTCTGGTCCTTTTCACCCAGTGAGACTTCATTTTTAACAGAGTACATTTTCTTTGTTTGAAGTTTTAGAAAGTTAATAAGCATGTTCAATAGATAGAATTCATCTTGGATAGCCTGATGCACCCACTTTACAGAAGGTGTTCCTCTCATCCCTGGACCAGATAGGCTTAGTTCTTGAATTAGGAAACCTACTGAGCAAATTTTAAGAGATACTAATGAATGTAGTCTAGATTATTTTACCTATATTCTACATAATATTTTGACCCAATATTTTGGGTGTAGTCAACTTATATTTGAGATGTTAAGCATAAAGAACAAAGAACACCAGTAAGTTGTACTACTGTAAGAATAACTTACATATTGAAATGAAAAACTAGTTTTTTATCTTCTGAAAGGAGACTTGAGCAATCTGTGGACAAATAGAAATGAAGTTATGAGAACTGCATTCAGGATTTCCAAGAGAAAGAAGAGGGGAGAAAAGGGTGAAAATAAGCATTTAAGGCTTATTTAACACCTTTAGAATTATAGGTGATCAATCCTCATAAGAGAGAATATGCAAGATACAGACAGGCACAGACATCTTATGCAGACCCTAGAATTTCTAGAATATTACTATTATAGAAATATCCATATGTAGATATTTAAAGCATAAATTTTATGTTACAAAAGATATGATTAGTTTGTAGAGCTACCATAACAAGTATCTCCTACTGGGTGGCTTAAACAAGAGCAACAAAACATTTTTTACAGACTTAGAGGCTTGAAGTCCAAAGTAAAGCTTTTGGGAGATTGATTTCTTCTGAAACCTCTTGTTGCCTTGCAGATTGCTGCCTTTAAGTTGCATTCTCACATTTTTTCCTTTAAAAATTATTTTTGTCAGTACATTATAATTGTTCATAATGATGGGATTCATTATACCATACTCATGCATGCATATAATTTTATTACTCTTATTCCTCTCCCTTCTTCACTCCCCCTGATTGGCTTGCTGTACTCTACTGATCTCTCTTATATTATTATTTTATTTAGTGCATTATAATTACATATACAAGTGGGATTCATTGTGGTATGTTTATACATCATATGATTTTTGTGTGTGTGCATGCACATCTGCATCCTGATCTCTTCTTATAATAATACCAGTTATATTGAATGAACACCCACCCATATGACCTCATTTTATCTTAATTACTTCTTTAAAGCTACTCTCTCCAAATACAGTCACATTATGAGCTACTGTGGGACCTCAAAATATGAACTTGACATTAATTTGGGGAAGAACTCAGTTCAGCCCATAACACTATCAACTCATACACACTTACCTGCAAGTTGTTTTTTCTACTCATCATCAGATCAGGAAGGCCTTTCCATGACAATAAAAATGAGTTTTGTCTAAAGGAATGTCTTTAGTGAATGTAGACTATTGTATATATGAAAGTGACCAAAATACTTCCCTTTTGCTCTACTGTTTAAATGAGTTTAATTTCCTCTCTCCCTGCCTCCCTCTTTCCTTCCTTTCTTTCTTTCTGCTATTTTAAACACTGGTTCCATGTAATAAGTTCTTCCTTGCAATAAGGTCTTTTCACACAAGTCTAATTATGTCAATAGGCTAATTTTCTTAAAGTGGGGCTGCTGGGGCAAAAAATAGAATATTTCAAGTTTTTGATGTTTTATCAGGATCACTTAAAGAGTATACCAGTATACCAGTCATATGGGTAGTGTAGAAGATTTCTCATTTCTTCCTCCAAATTTTACCAGCATCAAGTATTATTACTTAAAAATCACTAATAATTTGATAGAAGAAAAATATGATTTTTACTGTTTGAATTTATATTTCTCAATGACTACTGTGTTTTAGCTCTTTGTTTATATGTTTATTGGTCCTTTCTTTTGTTGGTTATGTCTTCTGCCCATTTTAATGCCTACTTTTTCTGTGACTTCAATTTTTATATTTAACCCTTTTAATCTAGAATTTATTTCATGTCACTTAATTTTGTTTCAAACATGGGTTATTGGATAATCTTTTCTATAATGCAATTAATATCTTTCTGGGCTTTCATATGTTTTCTCTTTTTTCTTTCAGATTTTAATACTAGTATCATATTATCAATTACTCTGCATTTATGTTTTATAATATAAGCTCACAAATATTCTCCTTCAAAGTTTTCTTATTCTTATGCATTTAATACTCTATATGAATTTGAGAATTGTTGTTATTTTTCTAATTAGAAAAATTTGGTTGGGTTTCTTTATATCAAATGTTCAGGTAGAGATAGGATTGGATTTAGGTTAGTTATTTTTTTTTCCCCTTTAGTACTCAATTTAGAATTTTTAAAAATCTTGCCCCATCTTTTTTATGCTGCTAGATAAGATGCTTATATAATTATCAACAGGACCCTAAGTTGTTGAAAAAAATATATTTGACACTTAGTTGAATAAACATAAACTTTTAATTTTAGAAACAGCTTTAATTTTTTTTCTTTTCCATGATTAATTCTTACATTTATTTCATTATCCTAACTTACCAAAATCAAGTGTCTGATGTTAGTAGATTGTATCTTCTTTCTAATAGAAAGCTCATTCTTTAATGTCAGCATGATTTCACTTAGGCCTGCTTTTAAAGACAAACAATTGTATTGGTTTCTGACCGTATTTTTCGGGAAATCTTATACTCTTCTCTCCACATTCTATGCCGGAGTTATATTGCCTTTTGAAAACATTTTGTTCAGATTCCTTCTCACTCACCTATCTCCTTCCTATCTTTAACCTGGTTAATTCCCACTTATCTTACTTGGCAAGGGTTCATCTCTAAGTTATACATTTCAGATACCCCTTCCATATCTATAGCATCATATTGTGCTAGTTAACATTTTAATTAGCAATTCCTACACTAGACCATATACTCTGTGGATACTAAGGCTGCACATAAGTTGTTCCTCATTGTAAATGTAGCACTGACATAGTGCTTGGCATAAATATGTTGCAATAGACAAATAAATAAATGCTGAGTGACTAAGAACATGGTAATATTTTACATGAAGCCAAACATCTGATGTCCATTAAATACAAGTTCTTAACTCCTTTATGTGTGACTTATGTGTGTGTTTGGTTCTGGCTTTGAGGAGAAGTGGTGGGGTCAAAGGTAAAGGGTCTATAGGCCTCTTGCTGCTCTTAATGCTGAATCTACATATAACTAATGAGTCGTAGAACTTCTACCTTTTAAGTGCTAGGGAAAAAGCCAGAAGAGTCATTCTTTCCAGTAGTGTCCTTGTGCAGGTGGGAGCAAACTCTGAGTCTGATGGAATAATCAAAAGCAATTTTGTACATGCACATGAACATGTAGCTTTGCTCTACTTCTCCTTCTACATTCTCACCTCCCAGTCATTAAGACCTTTTTATAAAACAGCATTGAATTTATTTTGGGCCAGATTTCCATACTGGTATATTGTGGGAGACCCTGGATTTTTTTTTTTTTTTTGTTTATTTTTTTCTCATTCCTGTAGATTTATGCATACGTCTTTGAAAACATCAAGTCTGTCCGACTGGAAGCACTGCTCTTGTCTTTGCTGAGCATCGTGGTCCTTGTTCTTGTTAAGGAGCTGAATGAACAATTTAAAAGGAAAATTAAAGTTGTTCTTCCTGTCGATTTAGTTTTGGTAAGTATGAAATCAACATTTAGCTTTCTGCTATCCAGAGCCTGTCCTTGGTTGGGGTAATCGGCAGATGCTTACTATATTGTCTACAGTAACCCATAACTACTCCTGGGTCTCATTAAAGTAGAGCTAATTGCGTGGCTATACATTAATGTAAGAACAGGAAACATTTTGAGTCAATAATTTTAAAAAGGAGGCACACATGTTCTCAATTTATACAGCATTTCTCATATGCCTTTAATTTTTTACATAAATAAGAGAACATATAATCTAGGATCTCAAAGAGATATTTCTAAGGGTGAGACTCAAAAGATGTCTGTCATGATCCTATGTAAAGCAATAAAATATGATACCACCTCCTACCAATACAACATCTGTATGATATATAGAGAAATATTATCAACTAAAATTTTTCTGCTAATGATTATTAGTTTGTTTATACTTGTTACCGACATAATTTTGTCTTACTGAAAGGATGCTCATGATTTTCATTGGTAGGGCAGGCTCTTTAAAAAATTAGTTTGTTGTTGTTGTACCTGGCAAAGCAGTACAATATAATTTGCTCCCAAGGCTTGTGGCATGAAAATATATGTTTTGAAAATTTAAGCACCTTTAATGGGAACCTTAACTAAACAAAGTGTCAAATTGAAATATTAACACAACCACTTCTAATAAATCTACTAATTTATTCATAGCTTTATGGCATTTGTGTTATATACACACACATATCTTACAAATACTGTCTAAATAATTTTAATTATTTTTAAAATATCCTTTTATAATGTTGAATATTGTAGGTTTAGGACTATAAAAGACAAGAACATTGGAAGCTGCCTCTGTAGGGCACAATTCATTTCTACAGAACTGAGATGGAGGCCAAGTATGATGCTATACTCTTGACACTTCAGTGAGATACACAATAAATGTGAGCTACATATGTGTGTGTATATTTCAAATGAGCCATAGATCTCAGAGTGCCACAATCATTAGCTTTCACAGTAATAATTCTGAAACATACCATCATTTCTCAAAGTCCTACAGATATTGAGAAATGCCTATCTTGGGAAGCTATACAATATAAGTTTCCATAAAATCAAAAATTGAAAATAACCCTGGGGGAAGGCTCTTAAGCTCATAATAAGTTGAAATTTTCTGAAAAAATAGTAAGAACTATTCTTAAAATAAAAGATATTCCATATACAGTGTGACAGTTATAAGACCCATGGCAAATTCTGAAAGGCTAATTCAATGATTTAAAATATTACTATCATACCAAAAGTACTGGTAAAAGCTCAACTATTTAAAAATCACAGATCAAAATGTTAAGTAAAACAGGAGTGGTTTTCTATCTTGACTAATGTACCCTAGTAATGACCTTGAAAACCAGGGTAGGGTGGAGAATTCTCCCACTTCTTTGAGCTGTGCTAGAATGTGGTGGCCTGAGGAGAGAGCCTCTTGGCTTGCTCCTTGATTCACCTGAATATGTGTGAATATTCCTGCTCTAGTGTCTAAACTCCAAACAGTTCCCCAAGACATAACAAGTGTGTCTTGGCTTTCCTTGGGCTACCCTAGTAAGATAGTCCTAGGGAAATGGACACATGGACAGAGGGCCATTTGGACATGAAATAATATATTCCTCAGTTCCATACTGTAGATCAAAAAGAGAGGTACAGTACGAGTTGGGCACATCTTCCTGTCTCAATAGAACTCCCATTTATGGAGTAGGCTAGAGATGGAGGAGGGCAAGATTGGAATCATTAAAACACTGCCCCCCCCAGCAGGATCTCCTAATGACTGAGTGTAAGGGTGGCACTGGCCTTATACACACATATGATATTAAATAACACCTAAGAAGGACCAAAGACTCAACTGATAAAGAAATACAGTGAGGAAGTAAGACACTGTCTGAAAGTCTAATTCTATGATTTAAAATATTACTATCATATTAAAATATTTATAAAATTTAACAATATAATCTGTTAGCAGTTTTATAGATTTTTCTGTTTATTAAATATAAATATATTCAAAAGGTGGTTCTTTTCCCAGTTTTACAAGGAATCTCCATACTGCTTTCCATATTGACTGCACCATTTTGCAGTCCCACCAGCAATGTATGAGTGTGCCTTTTCCCCCACATCCTCACCAACACTTGTTGTTGTTTGTATTCTTAATAGCTGCCATTCTGACTGGAGTGAGATGAAATCTTTAAAAAAAATTCTCAAGACATATGTATACCTAATTAAAATAAATAAACAAATACATTTATAAAAATGTCCTCAATACGTTTGGCTTTTTAAGCCCACTTAATAATTTAGAAACGTATTCAGTTAAATATCAACAGACATGTACAGATAGGGGGAAAAACATACAAAATGGTTTCATTGGGCATTAATTGTTGGATATTCCTTATTTCATTAGTGTAACTATGTTATACTTTGTTTCTTCCCATGTGTATGGTAACTTGTACTCTAAGTATATAATTGGTTTATCTCTTTTAACGAGATAACCATTCCAAACTGATAACATAACCATGTGAAATTCTCAGTGTCTATTAAAATTATCCTAAACAGAGAGTGTGAAAATGGATGGAAAATAGTCACTTGGCATGGCTATAAAACACAGGCAGACTGGCTTGGAATGTGGGTTAAACATGATGATAGGTATAAGCAGAGAACAGGTGACCCTGCTTGGCATGTATCAGTAACAGCATGATAGGGTGTCCAAAGCTCCACAGGGGTCATTTAAAAAGCATGGATCCAATGGGCAGTGAACCAATGTTTTACTTCAAGATACAGTAAAAGTTCAAAATTCACAAATTATTTACAGAATTGTAAATCATCATTTGTTACTAACATAGATTAGAGATATTAATCCACACTTCAAACTCCTGAGAGGTTGTCTTCATGGAGGGAAAATATGCTGTTTTTCAAAGCATCCCTTTGTGTCATGACAGACAGGTATTTAGGTTGGACTGATGTGTCTGTGTGCATGCACATGCATACATCACACACACACACACACGTATATACACACACACACACACTCACTCATCCCTGTATTCTCTATGTTACTTCCCTTCCAAATTGGACACACTGGGTTGATATAAAAATTTTAGAAAAGCCATAATACTGAGATATCATCTAATTTTGAGACTACATATGTACTTTCAAAATTCAGAGTGACCTTTTGAGCTTTCTAAATATATTTTTAATTGTCCATATTTGTAGAATACAGTGTGACATTTCAACACTTGCATACAATGTGTCATGACCAGATCAGGGCAATTGGTATATCCAACATCTCAGACATTTATCATTTCTTTGTATTGGGAACATTCAAACATCTTTATCCTCCTGAGCTATAAACCAACAGAATTTAGGCCTCCTGTCCAACTTCTCCTGTTCACCTATTACCTACTAACCATCATCTTTCCAGTATCCCTGACCTTTGGACTTCCAATATTTTTCTAATTTAAAAAAAATATGTGTAATTGTTGCTTTACTCTTGGTAATCATGGGACATGCAGTGTTCACTTCAAAAAATGGTTTTAAGGGTTTTAAAAGGCCAGTAATATATTTTTCTTTTTCCCCCCCGCATGGAACCACACAGATTATTGCTGCATCTTTTGCTTGTTATTGTACCAATATGGAAAACACATATGGATTAGAAGTAGTTGGTCGTATCCCAAAAGGGTAATGTAGTCTTCTAAAACATATAATGTCTGTCTGTTTCTTGTTTGTTGATAGGGGAAGGGACTTGGGGGGTGGGTGGGTAAGCATTTCTTTTCTTTTTGTGTATCTTAAGGGGCAAACTTCTAATTAATGTCCATTACAAAATGATAGAAACAAATACTACATGTGAAGGGAAACAGTCAGTACTCCTAGACTATAAGTTCATACATTACTAAGTACATTGGTAATTGCCTTACATAGCATTATTTCAGGTAGAAGATTCACATAATATTTATAAAGGTATTACTCAAAAAAGTGGAAGGTATTGAATTTGCCAATTAGAGTTATGCACTGGGGTTTAGTTAACCCTATTACCCCCATCTACATATTCTTATGAATATTTTTATTTTACCTAAATCATTGATACAGGTGGAAAAGTATCTATCTGAAATACCAATCCCACAGGCCTGGGTAGACTTGAATAGTGAGGGAGGCTAGAAGAATAAAAGGGGGATTCCCACCTACCTACAGCCTTCCTCTGGACCCTAAGAGAACTTTTAACAACAGAGGAGGTGGTACACCCCAGAAGGCAGAAGGTCACTCCAAAAATAGGCTGAAAGAAGAGAAGGCATAATGGAGAAAAGGTCTTATGGATTGTTTGCTTTTAATGGGCTGAATATACAAATAAGGGACAAAGTTAGAGTTGTTGGGTCCTCTAAGTTTTTATCTTCCACCCCTCAATTTTGCTTTCTAACTATACTATAATTGAGGAACAGTAGAACAATTCTCAGTGATTAAAAAGACAATTTTAAATATCTCTCTACTTGTCTAGGTGGATAAAGGTTAGGGTGATTAATTGAATTTATTTCAATTTTCCAAAGTTCTCTTTGCCTTTCTACCCTTGAAAATCAATTTATTCTTTCTTTTTAGGTCAGTTTGTTTATTGGGTATACTAAATTTTCATGAGATAAAAATTCTCATACTTTGGCATAGTAGTAGTTTTTTATGGTACATATATTGATTGGGACAATAATCATACAAATCAATTTGTCTTGAAGGTAAACATTAGTACATTGGGAAGTAAGACACATGTCTCCTCCATCCCCTCTCATTTTCTTATTTTAAGTGACCTTTCTGGAACCATCTTAAATAATCATAGATTGAACAAGAAAATAGGTGAAGCTAAGATCCAATCCCAACTCAGCCATTCTCTTTATGACTTTAGATGAGTTATCTAATCTTTCTTGAAACGTTCTCTCTTCCATAAAGTGGTTATGATGGTACTTGGTTTGGGGACTTTTTGGAGAATTAAATGAATTAGCTAATAAGAAAGGACCAAAACTCTACTTACATACTAATAATTAAATCAACATGAATTCACTTCCCTTTTTCTTCTGCTTTTACCATAGGGATTTTTTGGATAAGTCTTATAAACGATGATACTTTGATTTAAGTGGTTTTCAAAGTATTATCTGAAAACATTTTCAAATACCCAAGCTGGGTATTATTTGAGAAACATTTTAAGCAATTCTTTGAAACAGAGAACAATTAAGTGTGGCCCTATATTTGGCAGAGTAGATAGAATCTTTCTACATATTTTCTTAACATATGTAAGCTATAGTGAAGTGTTTTGTGAAAGGATTGAGTTAAAAATATAATTAAGATAATTAACTCAATGGCAAATTCAAGAATTAACCCAAGAATTGTAGTTGGCAATAAACTAGTGTTTGCATATAGCTCTGTAGTATCCTTTAAGGGAGGAAATACAATCTCCAATGCCGGTCAAATAAATATTTGGAAAGGTTTGGATGAAAGAACATTCCAGAATTGCTTTTGTTTCTGATACAGGAAATTTTTGTTGAGTCAGTTTCGGTGTAACCTGAATTCCCATGGTGTAAGTGCCAGTTAGATGCATGGAACTGAGCGTGTGGTCTTCCTTACAATTTTGCTTTTTTTGCTAAATAATGTTGAAAATAAAGGACTTTTAAGGGCAAGACTGCTTGGTTTTCTCATGGGTATTTCACTTATTTCACGTAAACTTTAGAGTCATTACTATAGTTCCATTCATGGCAAGTTGTTACAGAAATTACATGAAGGTTGGCAACTTCAATTTGCTCTTTCTTTTCACAGAATTCCTCCACCTAGAGCTCCCCCAATGAACATCCTCTCTGCAGTAATCACTGAAGCTTTCGGAGTGGCACTCGTAGGCTACGTGGCCTCACTGGCTCTGGCTCAAGGATCTGCCAAAAAATTCAAATATTCAGTCGATGACAATCAGGTGGAGTGTGTCCTCAGACCATTTTCACCCCATTGTACTAGTGTTCTATGTACTCTCAGATCGTGAAAATGTTGAACTTAGGAAAACTATAACTTCCCTAAATGTATAACATGAATGGTAGAAAAGAAAACAACAGAAGAAAAATCTCCATCAATCACAGAAAGCTGAAATCTGGCTTTCATTGTTAAGAATATGTAATATATATATTTTTAATACTAGGGATTGAACCCAGGGGTTCTTTTTGAGACAGGGTCTCAGTAAGTTGCTGAGAGCCTTGCTAAACTTGTTATCCTCCAGCTTTAACTTCCCCGGTTGCTGGAATTATAGGTATATACTTAAAAATTACAGGTGCCTGACTCAAAAATACTTTTTGTAAAGAGAGAAATACACCTTTATATTCTCTATCATTTGATTTTAGCCAAGAATCCAAACGTATTTATAACTGTGTATTAACTTTTAAAAATTATGGATTTCAAAGTCCGATACTGGTATTGTTCTTAGTAAGACAGTGAAGGATGTGAAGGTCTTTTCTAAGAATACCAAAGAATAAAGATTGGTTATATTTCTGAATATATTTCTGACAGTGAATTGCTTCAAGTTTTGTAGCCCTACAGAGCTGCACAGATCAGAAAAGAAGCTGTGGTGTAGCGGTTATGAATGCTAGACCTGTATATAAATCCCACTTCTGATATTATGTGACCTTACTCCTGTGTCCCAGTTTTTTAATCTTCAGAAAAGAAGATTTATTCATTCTATAGTTGTAAATTGATTTAACTGTGTACCAGATACTGACCTAGGTATGAGGGATACAATGGCGGACAACATAGACCTTGTCTTTCTTCCACTTTTCCCCATGGCTTCCCAGGATCCTTGGGTAGAAGCCTCATTATCATGGCTAACCATCCATATTTTCCTTGAATCCTCTAGCTAATGCTGTTCCTCTGGATATCTGACACAACTGCTTTATTTCAGTGCTTCTCTCTTAGGGAAGGCACCTTTCGTTATCTAAGCTCTTAAACTCCAGATTTCCCTTGGTCTCCACTGCTTTAATTTCCATATTTATCTTTTTTTTTTTTTTTTGGTCAATATTCCCTCATTAGAACCACATCTTCTTGAAGGCAGGAATGTTTGTCTGTGTTTGCTGACAACAACAAATGCAGACAAACTGTTAGGAGGCTTTTGCAATAATCCAGGAGAGATGTGATGACTTGGACCAGGATGTAATGATGAAGGAGATGAGAGTGTCAGGATTCCCGATGACATCCACATGCCAGCTGGTGAAAGAAATGGTGTGGAGAGTCTAGAATAACTCCAAAGCTTTTGGACTAAGCATTTCAAATTTAAGATGGGGAAATCTTAAACCCAATGGTTAGATTTTACCTTACCTGACCTAAAACTGGGAGGACCCAGTTGAGGTGGTAGAAATCTGTCACTCTAGATAGTAAGGTTGATGTACTTGTTAGTCATTAAATGGCAATACTGAACAGCAAGTTGTCTGTAGAGATCTGAAGTTCAAAGAGTGGTTGAAGCTGGAGATCTAAATTTGGGAATTGTCATTGGATAATTTTGTTTTGGTTTTGGTAGCTAGATATAGCTGAAGAGAAATAAAGAAGTGAAATGATCTAGTATTTGCAATTGGTTAGATAGGAGAAACCACAGTGGAAATTGAGAAGGAAGGATCAGAGAGGCAGGAAGAAACCAGAAAGTATAAGGTCCTAAAAGCCAAGTGAAAGAGGCTTTAAGGAGGAAAAAGCTAGTAACTATGTCAAATGCTCAAGTTTTAGGTCAAGTAAGGTAAAATCTAACCATTGGGTTTAGCATTGTGGAGGTCATTGGTGAACTGATAGGAATAAAAGCCCCATTGTAATGACTTAAAAGAGGAGAAGCTGGCAACAGAGAGAATAAATAAATAGTGTGTCCTTATAAGGTTGTTATGGGATTGAATGAGTAAAGTGCTTAGAACAGTTTCTGGCTCATTGTAAGCACTCAATAAATGTTAGCTATTTTTATTATAATTGTTAAATCCCTCCCAAACTTGTGGGGGAAAAGAGAAATTGAATACTAACAGGCTTTTGCAATAATTTGTCTCTGACAATTGTACATGTGGTCTTTAAGAATCCATTGCGATTAAGAACTTATACATTCTCCCATTTTCAATCTTGCAGGAAGTTTTGGCTCATGGCCTCAGCAATGTGATTCCTTCATTTTTCTTCTGCATACCAAGTGCTGCAGCCATGGGGAGAACGGCTGGCCTATATAGCACAGGGGCAAAGACACAGGTAAGGTGATCATTCAGCAGGGACAAAAGAACAAAAGAAGAGTAATAAGGAAACTACTGGGTCTCCACTTCCATTATGAAAGTGTGGGAGTGATAGTGTCTGTAAAGTCCTGAAAGTATTTCCACTTCTTCAAATTTTTTGGAAGTCTCTCTCTTTCCTCCCTCTCTCCCTTTCTCCCTCTCTCCCTCTTTTCTTATGAACAGCCCTTCTGCAGGCTAAGTGATTCAATAAACAAACTGGAAAATTCTGTACAAATGGCAGCTTTGTTGTTAGCAACCTTTGAAACCAAAGCTCCCTCTAGTGGTCACTCTGATTTTTTTCTATTCATCTAAAAAGTCAAGGTGACTTTTTTTTTTTTTTTTTTAATAATTTTGTTCACTTCCTTTAAATAAAATAAAATCCATTATATGCAAAACCAATCCTGACACTGGAATTCCTGTATATAGAGATGCACAGTGAATGAATGTGGCACAGAAATATGTGAATATTTTAAGAGAATAATCAATTGCTACTTTTTTTTTCTTTTTAAACTCAAAGCAGTTTGATGTTTATCAGAGGCCTACCAAATACCAAGAATTTGCTGGGTGCTAGCAAGAGGATGATGATGATAGGGAAGATGATGTGTTGTCATTGATAATGGTATTGGTGGAAACAGTAATAGTATATGCCAGGAATTGCATGTCATGTTTTTATATAAGTGAACTCATTTTAATCCTTTAGGCAATTCTAAGAAGGAGGTATAATTTATTGTTCTCAGTTTCTAAATGAGAATGTTGAGAAAAAGAGGATTGAAGTAATTTACCCTGCTCACAGAGTTAGTGAGTAGCAGAGCTGGGATTGGAACACAGATAAATGCACTTCAAACCTTGCTGTCTTAACCACTGTTTCGTGCAAGAGAATCCATGTGTATCTTAATATAAGACATTAGTAATAGCTAATCATTAATAAAACACTTCATGTTTAAAATAGGAATTGAATGAGAATTTATAAATAACTTGTTGCTAATTCAAAGAGGTTTTGGAGGTCTGTCCTACATTAAATGTTTTCTTTGGACTGTAGAAAAACAATTTGAAAAGTATATGGTTTTTGACCTTGAAGGAAAGTGTCAAGAAAAATACACATAAATACATATTAAAAAATGACATAAAACTAATAAAACATTTTTTGGAGCACAGGGTAAGCAGCAACCAATTCCAAATGCATTAATTCAGCTGACAAATAATTACCAAAATTCATGAGTTAAGAAGTATACTCCATGGGCTGGGGTTGTGGCTCAGTGGTAGAGTGCTTGCCTAACACATGAGAGGCCCTGGGTTTGATCCTCAGCACCACATAAAAATAAATAAATAAATAAATAAATATAAAGGTATTGTGTCCAACTACAACTAAATATTAAAAAATTATTATTTATTATTAAAAATAAATATTAAAAAAGTGGACTCCTCATGCAAACTTTGTTTGCTTGATATCAAGTCATTTGATTGATTGATTTTTTTTTCGGGGGGGGGTGTGGAGGATGGTTACTGGTGATTGAACTCAGAGGCACTCAACCACTAAACCACATCTGCAGCCCTATTTTGCATTTTTTATTTAGAGACAGGGTCTCACTGAGTTGCTTAGTGCCTTGTTATGTTGCTGAGGCTGGCTTTGTACTCATGATCCTCCTGCCTCAGCTTCCTGAGCCACTGGGATTACATGTGCCACTGTGCCTGACTGTTTGATGGATTTTTACATAGTGATTTCAAGTATAATTTCATTGTGTGTTGGCACTAATATTTTTGCAAACTGTACTCTCAAATATTTGTGATCTAAGTTTAGACACTTAAATTTGTAGCATATGTAAAAGTCATCCTTAACTCTGAGAACTGAATGTGAGTATATTAAGTTTCTTCTTTTCATATTCAGGATCAATAAACATAAAGAGTGGTTAAGACATGAGTTCCAGAGCCTGGGCTTGTGACCTGGCTCCACCACATATAGCTGGGTGACTTTGTACAAGTAACTTCACTTCTCTTGTTTAAATGGACTCATCTGTTGAAATAAAATTACAATATCATAAAGATTAAATGTGTTAGCATATGCTTTAATTCAATACCTAACCACCAAATAAATGCTCTTTAAATGTTAGTGATTATCGCTGATTTTATTATTTTTATTTTTAAAGTAATGAGATATTTCTAGAACCTTTAAAAAAAAACACATAATATTAAAACATCCTAGTTTGATTGGGATGCAACAAGATGGTTTTCTGGCCCTGGCTCCCCCTTCAGCTTGCTGAGGGACCTTGACCAAGGTAGCATTCTCATTTGTCACATGGACAGAAAAGGTTAAAACAGAATCCCAGAGATGTTTCCACTTTGAATATGTGCCTTCTCTGGGGTCTCCTTAGGCATTTACCATACTTTTCTAATTACTATTTTAGTAACCAGAAAACCCTCTGATTAATCTTTGTAACTTTCAACATCAAATGTCTAAGAGGAAGAATATTTTGAGAAAGCTTGTACTTATTTTAAAATCTGAATTGGGCATAAATTTGATTAATAGGGCAGGGATAGAAGAATGCCCTTTCTCTTCTCTGTTCTTGAGGCCACATATTTGAATGATTAGAAAACAGAACTTTTCTAAGGAATTCTTATTTAATAGAGATTCCCCCCCCCCACATGGTATCCATCCAACTTCAAAAGAAATGAAAAAAAAAAAAAAAAACCCTAACAAAACACCAGTTCAGGGAAACAAAGCTTACTAGTAGAATATTTTTAGGATTCTCTGCTTTATTGAGATTGTCACCGATCTTTCTAGTAACATACTATAGAAATGATCCCTGAAAGTATAGTCTTGTCACCGATCTTTCTAATAATTTCCATTAAATTGCATAGGGAAAGAATATGATTTAATGTGTATACTAAATTGAGAATGCTTTCCCATGGTAGTCATTTCAGACCTTTAACATTACAACTGTTAAGTTTATGTGGGTATAACTGATAACTGACATGGTTTTAAGAAAGCTCTAGACAAGCCAAATATTAAAAGTTAGGTCAAAATAGGCTATTTGTGGAAACATTTTTTCTTTGTGACATGATCTCACAAAACAGCCCCTTATATGTCTGTGACTCTCTTCGGAACTAGATTTATAAACAGTAAACTATCCTAGAAGACTTTGATGCCTTTCAATTTTTAGCCTAATGATAACTAGTGATAACTATGTTATATTTGTTAATTGATTTGCTAACCGCTTTTATTCTGAAACATTTTCAGTTATCTTTTTAAAATGCAAATATGATCATAATGCTTCTTGCTTGGAACCCAGAAAAGGCTTTGCATAAGTTTTTATATATTTTAGAGAAGCACTCTTCATTAGAAACAGGAGGTTTTTCAGGTAATTTAAATACCTAGCAGCCACACATTAAAAAGTAGAGGAAACTGATAAAATTAATGTTAATACTATAACTTAATTTAGCCGGTATAGTAAAAATATAATTTAACCTGGACTCTATAATAATAATCTATAATAATAATAATAATAATCTAGAACTTATTAACAATATTGTTATATTATTTTCCTTCTGTACTAAGACTTAGAAGCTTGGCATGTATTTTATACTTGCAGCTCATCTTAATATGGATGACCACATTTCAAATGCTCAAGAGCCACATAGAGATGTATTGGTTAGGGAATTTAGGCTCTTCAGTACAAGTAAGTGGAGGGGAAAGCTTTTTAATGTTTTATTCCTATTTAGATTAAAATGTTTGAATAGGAATAACAAAAGATGGGGTCATTTAATATCAACTGCTGTGGTTAAAGGCCTGGATACATTTCTATTCCCCAGGTATAGAAGAAACCCTTTTTAAAGTGACCCCCTTTAGATGTGACATCCAAAGCACGTGCCTCTAAGAAAGGCCTTTAGCAGAATAAGAAAATCTTGGTGCCGCCTGGACTCATAGCACAAATGAATACTACATTTCTCCCCCGCTTCCTTCTGATGAATGCTAACTATGGGAGGGGGCTCAGAGTCCCTTGGCTCTCTCCACTGCATGCTTCTCTTCACTTCCAACGGAAGAGATACACGAGTGCTCTTCTGGGACCTGGGGAGGCATCGTGGAACCACGAGGGATGCCAGACAGCATCTGCTGCAGAGGCAGCGCAGCCACAACTGAAAACAACAGCTGGCGTGTTGTTCTGCAACACTAGGATTGCCTCTGGGTTCTAATTTGCCAAACGATATTCCCTAAGTCTTTCAAAAAATTTGGCTCATTGCTTGCATCTTCTTGAACACCTTCTTACTCTAGCCTTAGATACCCAATGTCCTGCCTTTTCTTTCTTTCTACCGTCCATTTCCCCCCACCATCTCTTTCACCATCCTGTTATTTTCCACAAGATTGTGCATGCAGTGAGGTCTCCACCTATCTGCATTGTTTAACTACTACTGAAGAAGGAAATGTCTGGACTGTCCCCTTTCTCCAGTCAAATATATGTATAGTTAAGGATAATGCTAATGCCTGTTTTCTTTGTAAGTAACATGTAACATATATCTTACTTAAGAATGACATAAGAAGAAAATAGAGATTTTATTTTACTAACTTCTATGCAGAATTAAATATGACTAGTGATAATTTTAAAATAAAAAAATCTCTGGGCATTTAATATGACATGGAGAGTCAAACAGTATACCTGGGCACTGGTTGTCCTGTGGATAATTAAGGGTGTGAATGCATATCATTACTAATTACAGTCTAGGTCTGAAACTTATTAAGAAGGAACTACTTCGGTTTTGTTTCTTTTTGAAGATTAAAAACCAAAAAAAAGTTAATATTATTTAGAGAAGAGCTTAAATGTAGTTGTGTTTCATTCTTTTCAAGTAGAATTATTTAGGTTGCAAGTTCTATAAAAATTTTTACTATATTGTTATGTGTATAATATATATATATATTATATTATACACATAACTATATAGTTATGTGTATAATTTTATATAGTTTTTTGCATATATATTGTATATATATGTGTATAATTTTATATAGTTTTATATATATATATTTTATATAATTTTATATGGTTATGTGTATAATATATATATTATACACATAACAATATAGTAAAAATTCATATATATATGAATCTTAAAATACATTTGGGTTTTTACTCAACAGTAATTTTTAGCATATTGTTATATATATACAAAACATTTTATATATATTTTTATATATAATAATTTTTTGTTATATATAACAAATTGTTAGTATATTGTTATATAATACACACACACACACACACATATATATATACATATATATATCTTAAAATACATTTGAATTTTTACTTAACAGTGTGGCTTTGCAAATCTTAGCTTGTTTTTAAAAGCAAAAACTTGAGAGAACTGCCTCACTTTGAACACTACTGCACACAGCTGCAGGCCACTGTGTGTTTGCAAACTCTCCATTACTAAATCAAATGCTCCACTTTACAATCAGAGCCAATGTTTAATATTAGAACTATGATGCATGTCCTACTTTGACTCAAGGAGAAAAGACAAGTTATTAATATAGGAAAACAAAACACAAAAGTAAACAAATCTTTAGAAATCACTTGACACATGTATGTATTTATATTAAGATTATTATCAACATTTAAAACTATTAAAAATAAGATTGTCACCTCATCTTCTCTTCTTTTAACTGCCATTTTATTCTTTTAAGGAGAGAGAGAGAAAAAAATTATCTTGCCCATTTTCTAAAGTTTCTTAATCTCAATCTCATTTTGTGCTCTGCAGTGTCCCCACCTTCCCACTGAACACACAGAGTCCAATCATCAACTCTTATTGGCAGGAGGCAGAAAAACTATCAATATATAGAGTTGTGCCAAATGTACTTGGCTTTTAGGGATCCCAATTCAGTACATATTTATATTGCCTGTGGGCTTTTTTAACTCCCTGTGTCTATGACCTTGGAGACGTCTTGTTGCCCCTCTGACTCAGATCCTTTCAAGCAATTTGCCTCCAAATTAAGTTCATTCCAGCCCCTAAGAAGGAAGTTTTTGGTTTCAGGTACGCGGTAAGCATAGGAGTAAAAAGTCCTACAAAAAGGATACATGTCGTTGTTTTGTGTCTTGAAACAAACCTTAGCAGTTAGTGTTGTTTCCTTTCCACAAGAACGTAGATTTACTCAGTCACTGAGCTGCTTTCTGAATGGATCTGTGGTCTGCACTTCAACACCTAGATCTTTCTAGGCCAAAGGAATTACAGGTATCATATTTTATTGTTTAAGAAATTCTTACCACATAAAACCACCAATTACTCCTAAATGGTCAGTTTGATGTACTATTTAATCTCTTTTATGGACAATCATTTAAAGCCTAATGACTCATTTCCATGTAAGAATTATTTTTCCCCTTTATACCCACTGTGATGTGTTAGTGAGTAGTTCTATTAAATATGAGAGGACAAACTTCCTCAGCTTCTGCCAACATGGAAAGGCCTGTTCTAAGTTCTGTTTGAGAGGTTGTTTAGCTGAATAATTGAAGGGGCACTTGCCCACAACCACCGTCCCTCTATGTCCCACCATATATCCCCTTTAATAGCACCAGGTTCAGGCCAGAAATGAGGCTATACTAAATCTGGGTGTGCACACATGTGTGCAAGGAGTTATGACAGATTCCTTCTCCAAATCATGTTTATAGGTACATTTAGCCATAATAAAATTCATCCTTTTTAGTTGTATAGCTCATTTAATTTAGACAAGTATGTTGTATAACCATAAATACAATCAAGATATATAATATTTTCATCACAACAAACAGTTTCTCCTATTCTTTTATAGTTAATTCTCTGCTTCCACCCATCCTTGGAATCCTATAATTTTTCTTTTTTTTCAGAATGTCTGAGATAAAGGATCTTCTAGAATTTTTATTATTTACTTAACATTAAATTTTTTATTATTATAATTATTAGAACAAATTTCACCGTGGCATTACCATACATGCATGTATCTTATCATCTTTATGTCCAACTTCTTTTTCCCGCTTAATGATTTGAATTTCATCTATGTTCTTTTTATTGCTGAGGAGTACTCCATCATATAGCTATGCCACAATTTATTCAACGAAGGTGGACATTGCAGTTATTTACATATTATATGGTGTTTATGAGCAAAGTTTCTAACAAATATTTATATATATAGACATCACATAGGCACATTCTTTCATTTCTCTTAGGCAGCCTTAAGTCTATGGTTATGCTTATGCATAAAGTCATAAGGAACTGTCAAACTGTTTTCAAAGTGACTATATCATTGCACTCCCACCAGCAATGCCAGAGACCTCCAATGGTTGTATGTCGCTGCCAGCCCTTGAAATCAATTATTTTTAATTTAAGCCATTCTGATAAGTCGAAATTTCCTCAATGGCTCCATAATGATATTCTGGGCATCTCTGTGGTCTGTGAGAGTTGATTTGCTCCTATTAGCACAACAGTGTGGCCAAGTGTTTATATGAAGTCATGTGAAGTCAGGTTCTCCCTCCAGCAGAGCTCAGCTCCAGGGGTCAGGTGCTTTGAATTGCCTTTTGCCAGGCTCAGTGGGTTAGAACACTATACATTTCAGGATTATTCAGTCTGTTTCATTGCTCCTATAATCTCATAGAACCATTTCATATAGAGACCCTACTAACAAGAACTCCAGAGAGAAAGTGTTTCAGTGGAGATTTGTCATCAGCACAGAAGAACCCTAAGCTGCGTTTCAGTGATTATCTACACAACCCTGTATGAATAAGGAGGGGGGAGTCGGGCTAAACCACAACAGGCTAAAGGTCTTTTCCTGGAATGTCACTTTTCCTATTCCACAGCAGCAAACCACGGCTGTGATGTGCCGTAAACATTGATGGTGTCCTATTTCTTTGTGTGGAATTGCTTTTCTCTCATCACTGACTTAATTTGATTGCACCAGTTTGTCACCTGTCATGTTTAGCTTCTTCTGACTGCAAAACATAATGACAGTCTATGCAATTTAACAATGATGGACCTACATTTTGCGTCTTCTAATCAAGATGAACTAAGAATTTGTCACTCTCATCTACAAATTTGGAATAAAAAAAAAAGTTCAAGAATTTCTTCTTTTCTTTCCTGTCTTGTGTTTTACAGGTGGCCTGTCTAATATCTTGCATTTTCGTCCTTATAGTCATCTATGCAATTGGACCTTTGCTGTACTGGCTGCCCATGGTACCGTAATGTTTTTCTCTCTCTACCGTTTACTTTTAATGACAATCATTGTGAATACATTTCTAGGAAGTCAAATCAATAATCCTAAATCTGAAAATCGTCTCACATAAGTAAAGATAAATGGAGGGGAGGGGTGCAAAGATACTACATTTGATGAGGTAAGGATAGCACCAAGGGAGAGTACCATGTCTGTTTTCTTTTTATACACACACACACACACACACACACACACACTTAGTTGTAGATGAACACGATACCGATACCTTTATTTACTTATTTATGTGGTGCTGGGGATCAAACCCAGTGCCTCACACGTGCTAGGCAAGCACTCTACCATTGAGCCACAGCCCCACTGTGACTGTCTTCTAATTCTTCAGCTCACATATAAAAATGGCACTCTGGAACTAGTTCTTTTGTGCTCATCTGGAAGGTGGAACAAGAAATACTCTGCTGTACAAAAAGTAGAGTTTGGAAGAATTTTATAAGAAATTTGTTAAAAAAAAATTGTGCTGGGGCAAGGAAGAAGGATCTAGAATACATGGTCCCACCCTTGATACATCCTTTATACTAAGTGGCTCAGAACATTAGAACCAGTAGTTCCTCTTGCTCTTTATAAGCCTGAGGTACCAAAGTGACTCAAGTTAAGATGCTGGGCTAAAAAGAGCCAGTCTCCACCCTTTGTTGCTCTAATTCTTCTCTTGTGCAGTGAAGATAAATATTTCCATGGAATGATCTTCCAATAATCGAGTTCCCTTTTCAAGAGAGTTATAAACATCCTCTGGCAAAATCAAATAATTGAGATTCAATACAATTATAAAGAAATGAATAATATAAATAATAATATAAAAATAATATAGTTTTGCAACCAGCACATTTCAAACAAGTTACACTGTGTAATTATGAAGGGACATACTATTCATCCTTATCATTCACTGCTTTTCCTTCCTTTTTTTCTACCTTGGGATGTGGATTTGCAGAAGTTTTTGTCCTGTGATTTTCCTAGAATTGATATTATATTTCTAAAGTACAAAAATAAATTAGTTCTAAACAAAACAAGTATTACTTTAGTCTTCTAATTGGTGACGGCTTCTCCATAGTAATTTCTTTTAAAAACAAAAAAATACGGTGGTCCTTTTAATTTCTGACTAAAATCTTTATCTTGATTTTTACTGGCTTATTTTTGTTTGCAGTGTGTTCTTGCAAGTATTATTGTTGTGGGGCTGAAGGGAATGCTAATACAATTCCGGGACTTAAAAAAATATTGGAATGTGGATAAGATCGATTGGGTAAGTAGAAATTTTACCCTAAATTTTCTTCTTTGGTTTAAGCACATTACTAAATAAGCTTTAATAGTTTTATTTGCAGAAAACAGATTTACGCTTTTAAGACTTGTGTACTTTATGAACTACCAGTTATTGTTTTAAAAATCTTAATAAAAGCATTAAAATAGAAATTGTTTTCATAAGAGACAGAAATGGAATTTTGTCAGATCTGTGTATAGTTTGAGAACTTTTAAAGAAATGCTAACTAGCCAAGCATGGTGTCACATGACTCTAATCCTAGAGGCTCAGGAGGCTGAGACAGGAGGATCATGAGTTCAAGGGTAGCCTCAGCAATGACGAGATGCTAAGCAATTCAGTAAGACCCTGCCTCTAAATAAAATACAATAGGGCTGGGGATGTAGCTCATTGGTTGAGTGCCCCTGAGTTCCATCCCGGGTACCAAAAAAAAATGCTAACCAATTTGAGTGTATTGGGGATGTCCAGTTTACATTATGAACTGATTCTGGAAACTAGGCTCATCAGGAAGGTACACACCAATAGAGATATGATGCTTTATAATGTGTATATAAAACTAGCATTAATTACTCTGAATGTATGCTATGTGGAGATAGGGTGAATGGCTTTATGGTGATCACATTCATTCTAAATACATGAATATCTTGAATGAATTACACTGACAAGAGCGTTATGTTAATAGGCTATTGCTGAGAACAGATTAAAGTATACTGAACAATGATGAAGTGTGGTTTCAATGAACAGAAATGTTTAGCATACTTACATTTTAGAGAAACCTGTCTGTATATGGGCATCCAAATCCTCTCCATATAGGAGAAGTAATTCATGAATACCCTTCTCTTTATATGGTATTGATCATATTGAAATGTCATGATCTATGTATTTCTACTCCTTCAGATTCATTGTTCTGTGAGCCTTAGGGGATTGTTTTTTCTAATACCTACTTATACCTACTTTCATAATAACGAGGTGCAGTATTACTGAGTTTCTACCAAAGTATGGTGCTGAGTGCCATGAGCAATGTAGAGATGAGCTACAAGTCTTTCCCAGATGCTTATGGTTCAGGAAGCAAACACAGAAACACCTGGAAATACAAGTGAAAGCTTGGTGCAGGGGAAAAGTGGAGGCAGAAGCACTCATTTGTACTGGTTAATACGAAGGGCTCTCACAGCAGAGCTGAAATATGAATGGAGATTACAGGCCAAGAGGACAATTAACGAGGCTGAGTGAGGATCATGACTTTTTTTTAATTAGTTGTTGATGGACCTTTATGTATTTATAAGTGGTCCTGAGAATGGAACCCAGTGCCTCACATACGCTAGGCAAGCGCTCTACCACTGAGCCACAACCACAGCCCAACGTTTTTTTAAATTTTAAAGGTGGTTTATATGAAATCACTCATGGGGAAAAATAAATAAGAAGATGCAAACTTATTCAACAAGCTACTGGATAACCCTGTGAGAAAGGTATTTCTAAGGAGCTTATTAATCATATGGAAGGAAACATGTTTCCATATTGCAGGGGACAGGAGATATCAGAGAAGGCTTCTTTTCAGAAGTGATTTCTAGGTGGAGATTTGAAGAATGAGTCCATTTTATCTGGGGAAGAGAGAAAGAGACCAATCTGTGCAAAGATACAGGAATGAGCATGAGCATGTTTGAATCTCCATATCAAGGTGTTCAGCGTGGATGGGACATGCAGTGTGAATCTGCATGTAATGAAAAATGAGGCTGTAAAGTTAAGAATGTATTGGATTGTGAAAGACCACTTTTAGATTTCATTCTGGAGACAGTGAAGTATCACAGAACGGTGAAGTAGATACAAGATTAATAAGTTTTATGTATTAAAAAGATCATTTGAGTAATTTTAGGGAAATGAATCATACTGAAAGAGAATAACACAATTAGAGCACTGCCCTAGTAATTCAGGCAAATGAGGAAGGCCTAGACCAAGGCTGAGATCATGAAGTTCAAGACAAGATAGATTTGAAAAATACTTAAAAGACTGAAATAGTTAGTCTTTACCACCAATTCATCCTATAAAGTAGATCCATCTAGAATGACATCTAAGACTCCAGATAGGAACATCAATGGAAGAAGACACTATCATTCATGGAGTTATAGAAAATATAGAATTTTATTGTTTAAAAACATGTAAATTGGTTACCTTTTATCTTTAAATAATATAGGTTCTCATTTCTGAGTTATTCATTTCACCTCTTTGTTTTCTGTATGTCATCACTAAATAGTTTTCCTAAAAGGGTTCATGTGTTTTGTATTCGAAGTTATTACATTTTAAAAATATTGACCTTTTTCACAAATACTAAAATGTAGTTTTTGGCTGAGTTTAAAATGCTTTCTTTTAGAACTTTTTAGACTTGGCATTATCTTTAGACATTGAATAATAACATAGAGAAATAGAAGTAAACATAATAGTTGTTATTTTATGCAACTTTGTTTTTTTCTAAATTAATACACAATGAAGGTCATTCTTTCTGCTCACAAAATTTGGTGATGTTATCAGAATATTTCTGTGGTTAATGCTCCAGTATCAAATTTCTATGAGCACCACATATCCTTTTGATCTCAGAAACAAAAAGAAATCTCCAATTTCTATGAGCATTATGTATATTTTGATCTCAGAATCAATAATTATTTATAAAATTTTTCTTCTAATGTATCTTTGGAGATTTTTTTCAAATTTATTTGTTCTGTCTTCCTAAAAAATATTGTATTTGTTGATTTTGCTTTTTCTTTTTTCATGTCTCTGTATTTTCCCATGACTCCTTCCCCACCCCCTGGTGTGGTTTCTTTATTTATTGTATTTATTATAATTCTGATTATGAATTTCTAGTTGTGATTATTCTGTTTTCTACTTTTAAATATTTTTTTATATCACCAATATTTTATTTCTACTCAACTTCTTTCCTAAATTCTTCCAGCATGTTTTTTTTATCTCCTTTAACAAAGTTTTTCTCTTTGTTAAATAAAGTATTTCTTTCATATTTCATATCTTTTCAAAATTTTTTTTCCTGAGATTCTGATTACATATTCAGACCTATCCTTTGTCTTTGCTTCATGTTTTCATTTTCTCTTTTCTATAAGTAGTTACCTTGATGATTAGGAATATGCATTTTTTAAGTGAACTTAAATATTTACTAAAAAAATTACATGGGAATTGCAGGAGATAGGAATGGTTTTAGGCATATCATTTTAATACACTTCCCCAGTTAAAGCAAAATCTCAGAAATCACAGGTTCTCTTGCAACCTGACACTTGTCTCCTTTTCATACTTCAGGTTGCTTCATCTCTAAGTCTTCTTTGGTCAGGAATCTAGGTTGTGATACAAATGGCTAGGTTGTGACACTGCCAATGCAGTCATACTGTATCATGTAAAACTCCATGGGTACATTCCTTGCTTCTCTGGTGGCTCAACCTTCCCTGTAGAACTTAGAAGCTCTTGCCTCTTGAAGTTTTTATCAAGATTATCACACAGGATTCCCAGGATTCCAGTGGTTAGGCAAACATTTAAAATTGATTGAACTCTGAGAAAAAAAATGTGTTGCCTTCTAGTATCCTCATTGATTATTATCCAGATTTCACAGTATTTGACAGATTTGTATCTTATTTTGTAGTTAACGATTGTGAACATGTTTTTTTTTTACATTGAAGTTGATTTTTTTCCCTTTATAGGTTGTATTTGATTTATTTTAATATAAAGGAGTAGAGTACAGAAATATTTAATATACTATCTACATATGATATCCAAATGTATACTTAGGTAATTCTGGCAGCTGTATGATAAATAGTTTATAATGCAGATAACAAAAATCGTTGTCAGATAATTGGAGTTGTCAGAACAGTCTAGGGAAGGGACAGTAAGGTGTAAACTAGGCATCATTAATAAATTGAAAAAGGGTGTGGTTATAGATATTTTTGATTAATAATTGATAAGGCTTGGGAAATGATTTGACAAGTAGATGAAAGAAGAGAGAGTAAAATGTTTCTAATTATAGTGTGTTGAAGAATATTACTGTTCTAACTGAAGGAGAACATTGGAGGAAGGGGAGATTTGGGTATGAAGTTAATGCATTTGCATTAATGAATTGTTGACTTTGAAGGTGTTTTATAATAATTTGTAAAATGGCTTAAGAGCTTAAAATTGGTAATATACTGCTTGGACATGATTATTGAAAAGTTAGTGAGAACATGTGGTATAGGCAAGGAGTGAGATTGAGAAACTTGACATGGGTATACCGGATGCATGATGATTCAATGGGACATTAGATTAGCTTGATAATAGATGAATATTTCTTATCTGCTAAGGAATTCAACAGCAAAAAGCCATGGATTATTGGGGTATAATGTTGATACAACATTTGGAGCAACAAAATATTGCCTAGACTTTTGTGGATATAAGCTATATTACTCAGTAAACATAACATATCTAGATTATTCAATAGATAGAATATGCCTACAGTATAGTGGAAGAATAATTACCAAAAATTGTCTGTGTGTGTGTATGTATGTGTAAAATAATTTGAAGGTTTAAAGGCTAAAAAGTCATGTAAGTAGGTATCACATGAAAAATCAGAAACATTTTTAATTTTTCACTTTTTTTTTACAGTTCAATATAGTTTCTATTTTGAGTTGTAGGTCAGAACCCTCTTTGAAGTAATAAAGAATCTAAATGGAGGTTTTACTCAGGGATTCAGAACAGAGTTTGAATAGCTAAACAGATCTATCAAAATTTAATGGTATGAATTTGTCACCAAAACAGATAGTAAAATAGATAGGTCAGGGAAAGGTGAGTTGACCCATTCATTGTTAAATTGTGCTTTACACTGATGGATATTCTATTAGAAGCAAGACTTTATGTGTTCTCTATTTAAGCTTAACCTGGGGGTAAGTTTGTATTTAAGGGCTGTGGATTTCACAAATGATGAAAAAAAAATAAAAGGGACCCAAGAGCTAATCAATATATAATAACTGTGATAACCAACATTTGGGTCTTTAACAGGAAGTGTTATAGAAAACTGTTGAGACAAGTTCTAATAGAACTATTTACTGATCTATGTTATTAATTTCCATTTGTTATATTTTTAAAGTTGCAAATGTAGCCACAGGGGGAAAAAGAAGCATTTGAAGAGCTTGACTTATAATAGATGGTGTTGTGGGAGGGCAAATATGCTTTAAAAACAGAACCAGATGGCACCAAAATTTTTGGTTGCTCTGATGAGTCCTGGCCTCCAGGATTTGTGGTTTTTTAAGTGGCAGGGTCCAGCATCCTTAGTTGCCCATGCCATTTTGAATCACGGAGGCTGGCCAGGAGGAACTGGATTCTTAAACTCTTGGTGAGGTCTTGTTCTGCCACACTCAAGCAGGTTCATTTAGTGTTCAAGGTTGAGTAAGACTCAGAGTCCTCACAGGAAGTTGCAAGAATGATTAAAAACTTAGTCTTGTATATGATTGAATACAATGTAATACATTAGAAAAAGGAAAAAAAACACTACACAAATAGAAGACTCATATGACTGCTAATTCATCTCAATAAAGGAAAATCATCTCAGTGTCCTAACCTAAGAGATGACAGGTTGTGAATGAGCTAAGTCCTAACTCAGCATTGCCATTTATAGGAGATGGAGCCTATGTGTGAATTGTCTTAAAATATATTTTCTCTTACTCCAGAATGCTTGTCTTTAATATCAAAAGGAATTTTACAGATAAAAATCTCTTCATTTGCTTCTAAAGGCTTAGCTTTTCAAAACAGTCTGTTTTTGAGAATCATACAAGCTCAGTGTAGATAAGTAATATAGACAAAGAAAAAACATTTTCAATAAAAATTACCTTTAGAAATGTTTGTTTCAAATGTGTCTAAAAAAAAAAAGAACTATAACTTCCCTCTCCCAAGATCTTATGCTGTTTTCAGATTACAGAGTAGTTTTTACCTTTTTTTGTTTATGTATGAATAGAATTAAATTACTTTTTGAAGTAAACTTTGGGACAGAGGAAATCAACTGAAAATTTTATATATAATCAGAGTGGTATAGTTGTTTGGGAGAAAAGAAAGTGAAAATTTTGTCAGTTTACTAATTGATGGATGCAGGATTTTGTATTTAGAACTATAATCTTCTGGATTTCACAAATTATTCTTCCCTTAAAGATTTTATTTTCAGCACAAAGCTTAGAAAAGCCAACTATACTACAATATCTTGTTGCAATTATAAGTTCAGGTGTGGACAATAGGTATAGTAACTTTGAAATACCATCTGAAAGAGAATTAGTTTCTTGCAACTTTTTGTAATATTCCCAAGAACTATGTTGTCCCTGTTTTTTTTTGTTTGTTTGTTTGTTTTAGCTTTTACAACAAGTGGCCCTTATAGATAAAATTGTAATGATCTTAATAGTTGGTCTAAAAGTAGAATTGGCAGTGTTGCTTGATTCAATCACTTAAACACTAGGCTTTGAAAGTCTTATGTGACAATAAACTATATTGGTAATTTTATAGTAATCCTTGAAAACAGAATATTTTTGAGAAAGACAAAAATCTGCAAACAATTACTTGTGATATTGTTACATTACATGAGGAAGCAATAGGAAATTATGGCATGTATCTAACAACACACACATTGATCAACTATTTACAGATCTTCAAAACAGTGATTGCTGGAGATTGAACTAAGGTTTGGCAGTGCCTGGAAATAAAAGAAGGAAACTTTCCCCACTTCTACTGCCACTGAGAGTCTGGTGGAGCCGGGATTTGCTTCTGTGTTCCTGGGCTTCTGCTTACCACTTCATAAATGATATCTACTTTCTGAGAGATTTGGTCACAGGAATATTGTAGATTAAGATTGGTGAGGGATTTAGAAATCACAAGAAAGATGAGAACACCAAAGAACCCACACCTTCTGTTTTCTATTGCTCTTTCAGGGTATATGGGTCAGTACATATGTCTTTACAATATGCTTTGCTGCCAATGTGGGACTGCTGTTTGGTGTCGTCTGTACCATAGCTATAGTGATAGGACGCTTCCCAAGGTAAGATCTTATGTAAATACTGTTTCTTCTTAATCAGCTGCAAAGTATGTGGTGTTGTTACAGAAAACTGTTGAGACAGATTCTAATAGAACTATTTACTGATCTATGTAATTAATTCCCATTTGTTTATTTCTGTATATCATTTACTACTAGAGTCTCATGTTTTACCTGTTAAAAGTGAATTAAAGATAAAGAGATAAGAATATTTTATGTTGATACATTTTATATGTATAATATATAATATTAGTGAAGAAGAATATCAAAATTTTAAGCTAGTATGTAATCAGCTTTCTATTGCTATAACAAATACTTGGGATCAAATGAACTTAAAGGGAAAAAAAGGTTTATTTTGGCTCATGGTTTCAAAGGGTTCAGTCCACGGTTGCATGGTTGCATGGCTTTGGACCTGTGGTAAGGCAGGATATCATGGTGGAGAGACTGTGGTGGAGCAAACTGCACATTTCATGATTATAAGAAAGGAAAGAGAGAGAGAGAGAGGAAATGAATGAAGTCCAATGCTCCTCCTCCGCTTTTTTGGTACTAGAGATTGAACTCAGTGGTGTTTAACCAGTGAGACACTTCCCTAACCCATATACACACACACACACACACACACACACACACACACACATATATATATATATATATATATATATATATATATATATATATAGAGAGAGAGAGAGAGAGAGAGAGAGAGAGAGAGAGAGAGAGAAAGGCCCTTGCTGAGTGGTTCAGAACCTTGCTAAGTTGCTGAGGCTGGCTTTGAACTCATGATCCTCCTGCCTCAGCCTCCCAAGCTGCTGGGATTCCAGGTATGCACCCCCACACTTGGCCCAATATCTGCTCTGAGGACATGCTACCAATGGTCTAATTTCACCCCACTCTTAGAGTTTCTACCACCTCCCATAGTGACACAGGCTATTAACCAAGCCTTGGGAGCACATTTCAGATCCAAACTGTAGAAATATATAAAATATATTAAAATAAATAAATCCCTTAGCCATGTACTCTCTCAGAGATTTTTTTAAATTATGTGAAGGGATATAGTATCCAATGAGACACAACCATGTAGCAGCAGTAATCACTTGGAAAATTAAGTAACTATAAATTTCTGGATAATTTATTGAGGAACACACTTCCTTTTTGTATATCTACTGAACATCTATAAATTATTTCCCCTATTTTGATCAATTCCCTTTTCTGATTTCTCAGTAGCCATCTGAAAATGCTTCTCTTCACTTCTCATTCTTCTTTTGAAATGTGTATTATATTCCTAAAAATGTGTTTAGAGACTCTCGATAGACTCCATCTTTATAGAATCTGTATCTACAGTTCATTATTATCTGACTTGTCTTGCCACTGATTCCCCCTTTCCTTTATTTCCTCCACAAACAAGATTTTATCAAATACTGCATGCTTTCTCATCTCTTCTCTTTTATAATTCTTTACCAATCCACCTCTTACAGCTTGGAGATATGGGGCTCTGGGAACCCAAATGAGGTAAATTTCATTTATTAATCTCTAGTTAGATGTCTATATTGTTACTCTGTTTTCAAATATCCCAGAGATACATAGATTTATCAATGTCTTGTGAAAAAAAAATGGGTTATAGGATCTAAACCATTTCAGACACTTTCTAATTATAAAGATATATGACATCCCTTTCATTTCTTCATCGTTAATGTAGTGATCAGGAAATGACTTGTTATATTTTCTATCTGCCTTAACTTTAGAGCAAAGACTTTAAGTATAAAAAACATGAAAGAAATGGAATTTAAAGTGAAGACAGAAACAGATGATGTAAGTTTAGTTTCCTTTTTCCTTTGTGAAATTATTACATTTGTGGATTCAATAGTTTTGATATAGCAAATAAGGTGATACATTTTGAAAATTGAAACGTGATAATTCTACTTCTATTTATTGTGAACTTCCAATGGTACATATGTTGACCACCACTCATGTGGCAGTGGATATGCAATGAATCAATAGAACAAAAGAGAATCTCTTTGGGTTAGCATTCAGATGAAATCATACCATGGTTCATATACCTACAAGGCATAGTCAAATCATGGCCAAGATTAGTCAGACATTTGGAAACCTCTTTTCCATAAAGTAATCAAACAAAACTGTTAGTCTTCTGGATTAAATGGTAGAGGAAGAAAGGGAATAGAGAAAAGAATAAATCAAGATTGGTTCATGGTGTTGCTTTTTAAAAAACTCAGTCAATAAGGTTGCATAGTTAATAGAGGGTAATTAAGTTCAGTGGTTCTGGAAAGCTAAGAGGACTACAGTTTTGCACAGTAGACACCTTCTTAAAGAAACAAACTACATAAATTGTCTTGCTTTGCCTATGCTTAGGAGAGTCAATTGATAGTGTTTGAGTTCTAGTATTTTGCTTTAAGAGATGACAAAACAATTTAAAGTAAGGGGAAAAATGTTGACTTGAATTATTTTTGCCAATTTAAAAAAAATTGCCCTCATTTTGAATCTGTGTTCTCTTTTATTTCTTATATTCACTTGTTTCATTCAGTATCTCATGATTTCCTTCAAAATAGAGAGAACAGACCTCCCACCAGAAGGACCCATGTTAGAGTATTTCCAAGTAGCAACATCAGGAGTACTCCTGCAACACTCAGAGAAATGGCTTGTGCTTTTAATAAGCATAGAAAGACTCGCCTCACAGAGAGCTGAGTTCAGAGCCTTTGAGGGTTTCCAGACTTAACTTTTCCACTCTTTTTTTCTTTCCTTGAATTCGTTATGACAATTCAGTGTTTGTACAAAATTCCAGTCTGATTCTCTGGTCCCTGAAGTCCTCAGTGTATCAACCCTACATGTATAATCGCATTGATAGCTTTAAGACAGAATTCAACTTTGGAATAACTATTTTTTTCAACTTAAAAGTCACTGGCTAATAAACTGGCTAATCTTTACCTTCTTTAAGGGCTAACCACATGTAGAAGAATATGAGGTTATTTTCAAAAAAAATGAAAATGCAGGAAATTTCTTCTATCCTTAAACCTTGGTTGATTTGAGTTTCATCAACCCACTGAAAACCTAATATCATATGATACTTTTCAGATGGTTCTTATAGTTAGCCTTCAGGTAATCCCTCACTTATCTTTTCATTCATACCACATGGAAATTTTAATTTTACTTAAATATTATACCACACTGGTTTCTTAACATTTTATGTCCAAACTAAGAGGGGAAGAAACTAAGTCTGAGCAAAATTTGAATATGAGTTGGTGGATGGAATAGCTAACACAAAATGAAATGATCTGTTATTCCTGTTACATTCATGTACTTTCCACACTTTATTCACTCAAAGCACCTATTCCTAATTTGGGAGATTTCTTTTGACTCAGCGAATTCAACTTCATTCACAATTTCTTTCCTGGGACAATGAATATCTCCATTTTTTAGCAAACGCATATTTTTTCATCTTATCTTAAAATAATAGACTGACACAATCTCACGTGAATTGTGGTGACTAGCTAGGACAAATATAAGAAATTCATGTTTTATTTTTGGATTCTAAGAAGTTGACTCTTGATTAAAACTTTGGCAGTTTAAGTTTTCTTGACTTATTTGTTGACAATCTCCTCATTAGCTAGAGTTAAATCAATAGTTTTTAGAAACTTTTGAGGTTATCTAGTTTAAACATGGATCTAATTTTAAAAGTGAGGAAATGTAAAGAGGTTAAATGAATTGTCCAAATGAATGTACCTAATCTTTTCTCTTTCATCTCTCTTCCTCCTGCATGCATGACCAATTTCTGCATCTTCTCTTCTATGTGAATTCTAAAGCCTGAAGTTAGTTGGTAAGGAGTTATCATGTCATAGAATTGACCATCCTGTGCATTTTTCCCAGAGTCACAGAGAGGACAGTTTCAGTTGCTCATCACTGAATGTGGCCAATTATACCTGGGCAGCTGGCCCAAACAGACACCTTTTTGTGTCAAAACGTTTCCTTCTTCAGTTCTGCATGTTTCAATGCATTGAAATGCTGCCCAAAGCAAATCTATATTCTGGACACCAACTGTCTGTCTCTTCCTTCCAATTAGGACTATCACTTATAAAGTCACACTTCAGCTAAAGAAAGTTCATGATATTTTTGAGATAAAGAACTGACAGTTGACCATTTAGAAGATATTTTCATTTTTGAAAAATATGGATGGTTAAGTACATTAATTTTAATGACAGATTGAATGGAAGAGGTAATTTGGGAAGATAGGTCTTCATGGCATTCTTTGTATATTCTAGTTTTTTTGGGTCCCAAAAGCCCAGTCAGTAGAAATAAGGGCCACTTTCTGAAAAGCTGCAGACTTGTATCATGTTATTAATGTTTCATAATAGAGAGGAAGTACATATTCTCCATAAGAAGTGTGATAGTGCATTAAATCTTCTAAACAAATTTTAATAATTAAAGTGATAGTTAAGAGATTGCTTCTACAATTGAGTGACATTTGGAGTTAAAAGATTTAGATTCATTGGGTATAGTTATTCCATTTTATTTAATTCAGAGTTCTAAACCTACTTTTTTTTTTCTTCTTTCAAAGGAAAGCCTGCAGCAGGTGAAAATTATCTCAATAAACAATCCACTTGTTTTTCTGAATGTGAAGAAATTTCATATGGATCTAATAAACATAATGCAAAAGGAAAATGCCAACAACCAGCCACTTGATGATATCAGTAAGGTAGGTAGGAACAGTGACTTTATGATTTGAATGTCATACTACAGGTAACTATACCTCATGACACTAGAATACATCTCATATAAAAATAATACATTATAAAAGTGTCTGCAATCCTCTCCCCTCAGCAAAACCTAATATCATATGATACTTTCAGATGGTTCTTATTGTTAGCCTTCAGGTAATCCCTCACTTGTCTTTTCATTCATTTACTGAGTGCATGTCTAATGAATATATGTATCAGATACTATAACCTCAAGAAGAATAAATAAGACAAGTCACTTAGTTCAAAGGAAGTTTTTTTTTTTGTTTTGTTTTGTTTTTGTGGTGCTGGGGATTGAACCCAAGGCCTTGTGCATGGGAGGCAAGCCACTCTACCAACTGAGCAATTTCCCCAGCCCTCAAAGAACTTTTTTTTTTTTTAACTGAGTTTCTAACAAAAATACAATTTGTTAGCTCTAACTCTTAAAGAAAGAATACAACAAATGGATTCAGAGAAGCACAAATTACTACCACTACTATGATAACATTATTATAAAATTCAGTCTTCTTTATTTCCATAAGTAATGTTCATTATCAGAGTTATTGAATCACATGTGCATTGGTAAAAGTTAATGCAAAGGAGCTATTTGTCATCATTTGAGTCTTGTAGGCCCCTGTAATATGAAGAGCCAGGACTTTGGAGCCAAACTCCCTGGGTTTACTACTAACTAGCTGTTGAACTTTAACTGAGTTACTGAACCTTTGTACTTCAATTTCCTCATCTATAAGCAAGATGATTAAATATGCAAAGCACTTAGAATAGTGCTTATCCTACTCAAAAACCCTACACTCTTAGCTACTATTATCAGGTCAGTTGATTGCACTTTTCATGAAGCTTCTCTTTTAAAAAATGTAGTTTTTAGTTGTAGTTGGACACAATACCTTTATTTACTTATTTATTTATTTTTATGTGGTTCTGAGGATTGAACCCTAACCCTCGCATGTGCTAGGTGAGTGCTCTACTGCTGAGCCACAACCCCAGTCCTCATGAAGCTTCTCTTGACTACTCCAGACCACAATGATATCTTCTTTCTCTTATGTCCTTGATTATGTGTTGTCTCTCAGTCATCCAGGTACTCCACACCACACCAAATTTCCCTTATTATTAGCATCTTGCATTACTGTGGCATATTTGTCATTATTGAAAAACAAATATTGATACAATTGGTTGATATAATTGACATAATAAACAAAAGTCCATGTTTTATTTACATCATCTTAGTTTACCTAATTTCCCTTTTTTATTACAGAATTCCATCCAAGGTAACACATTATATTTAGTTGTCATGCTTCCTTAGGCTCATCTTGTCTATTGCTTTTTTTAAAGACCTTGAAAGTTTTGAGTAGTATTGGCTAAATAGTTTATAGAATGCTCTTCTATTAGAATTTGTCCAGTGTTTTTCTCATAATAAGACTGGGGTTATGAGTTTGGAGGAGGAAATCTATAGCAGTAAAGGGTGATTACTTTATTGCAACCAATCAAAAGTACACAATATCAACATTATTTGTTACTGATGTTGACCTTGATCACCGAATGAGGTAATGTTTGCCTGAATTCTCCTATGTAAAGTCACTGTATTGTCACACTTTCTGTGCTGTATCTATGGAAGGAAGTCACTGTGTGTAGATCACAGATAAGGATTGTGGTTTGGAATCTACCTCCTTAAAGGTGGAGTATCTATGTAAATTATTTGAAATTATGCACAAAAATTTCAAGTAGGCAGTTTTAAGAGGAGGGAAAGGAAGTTCACACTTGTTGAATGTGTCTTGGGGCCAGTTCCTTTAATTGGGTTGACTATCATCACCAGCCACACCATGTAGATGACATTACTCGGATGCTACATAAAAGGAAGGTTGAGACTATGTTTCAGTCAGCTCTGTGTTGCTGTGACCAAAACACCTGACAAGAAAAACTTAAAAAAGGGAAAGTTAATTTGGGGCTCATGATTTCAGAGGTTCAGTTCATAGATGGCTGTTGGGCCCAAGGTGAGGCAGCATATCATGGAGGATGGACATGGTGGAGGAAAGCTCCTCCCTCAGACAGCAAGGAGGCAGGGATGTAGGAAGGGACTGTAATAATGTCCCCAGTGACCTACCTCTTCCAGCCACACTCCACCTACATACAATTATCACCCAGTCAGTCCATTCAATCTAGCATGGATTGATTAGGTAACAACTCTCATAATCCAATTCTTTCACCTGTGACTATTCTTGCATTAACACATAAGCTTTTGTGAAGACACCTCATATCTAAACCATAACAGACTGAGAAATGTGAAATAAGCTGATAGAAACTGTACTGCCGATATTTTACTCAGCAATGAAAGAGAATAAAATCATGGCATTTGCAGGTAAATGGATGGCTTTGGAGAAGATAATGCTAAGTGAAGTTAGCCAATCCACCAAAACAAATGCCAAATGTTTTCTCTGATATAAAGAGGCTGACTCATAATGGGGTAGGGAGGGGGAACATGGGAGGAACAGATGAATTCTAGATAGGGCAGTGATGGGAGGGAAAGGGAGGGGGCAGGGGATTAGCAAGGATGGTGGGATGTGATGGACATCATTATCCAAAGTACAAGTATGAAGACAGGAATTGGGTGTCAACATACTTTATATACAAACAGAGATATGAAAAATTGTAGTATATATGTGTAATAAGAATTGTAATGCATTCTGCTGTCATGTATTTTAAAAAATAAAATCACTTAAAAAGAAGAAACTGTACTGCTGATAACTACAAAGTAATACTCAAAATATATAAGCTGTATCATTGGGTATTCAGAAAGGAAAATAAAATTTCTCTAGTTTACCTTAAAAGTAAAAAATAATTTCACAACAGCAGCAGCATAAAGCAATGTTTGGAAGCCTCATTTGGAACTGGAAAGACATAGGCTTTGAGTCTAGCCCAGCTCTTAACACCTCTGTGAATTTAATCAAGTGTCATAACTTCCCTTATCTTTGACTCTCTCATGTGGAAAATGAGATTGAGGATGAAATGGTCAACATCAGGTCTTCAGTGTTCAGTAAGTACTGAAAAAATACCAGTTGCTATCATCCTCATTAATGAGAATAACAATAATACAGTGTTCAAGAAGTAGATAGCATGTGGTCTCATTAGGGGCATCAGATATTGTCAGAGAAGCTTCACTGAAGGATAGAGAGCCATTCTCCTTCTCCTTCTCTGGCATCTCCATAAATTAGGAATGTTTCTCAGGCATTTTCATGGATTTAACTTTTGTGTAACACAAAATGTCTGACACGTGGCTCTCTCTCTCTGAGAATGCGTGTTAATGAGGTTAATTTCTGTTGTGTATGCTACATGATAAACTCAAACAAATGTTTAATTTCTGACCCAAAATGGAAACAAACTAAGTTTTACAGCAAACATTCTAAAGAAGACAGTCTGACTTGATAACATCAATAATCCATGAACTAATATACCCTTAGAAGTCTTTTTCATCTTATAATTTCAAAGTTTATTGTATGCAGAATTCTGAAAACAAATCCTGTGAAGAATATTTTCTGGAGACTTTCTTTCACTGTAGATAAGAAATTATGTGTTATTTTTTCCCCCATGGACAGTGTCATTTTTTAATAACAATATTCTTCTTTGCATTTGTTTTCATTTCAGTGTGAACAAAACACGCTGCTGAATTCTCTATCCAATGGCAACTGCAATGGTGAGTGAGCTTTAGGTAAAAAGGAACTAAGTGTTTTGATTTTAATTTTTTATCTATTTTGGTTTTTTAAAAAATATTTTATTCTAATTTGTTATATATGACAGCAGAATGCATTAAATTTCATATTACATATGTAAAGTACAATTTTTCATATTTCTGCTTGTATACAGAGTATATTCACACCATTCGTTTCTTCACACCATTCATGTACATTCACTATGGATGTGTGAAAGATGAGAGTGTTTTTGGTATCCTGATCCAAAAGAAAATATAGTCAAATTCTTAGTAACCTATAATTTTACAAAAACTGATTCAGAAAGTTAAAGAAATTCCTATAAATTTTTCTGTAACTATTAAATAAATTAAATCATTACTTCAAAATCTTCACACAAAGAAAATTCCTTACCTCAGGGTCTTTACCAGTGAATTCTACTAATGGGGAAATATAGTGCAAGATTTTTCATAATAGCACTCTTTATTATCGTATAAAAAACTGGAAACAAGCAAAATATTTGTTAGTAGTACAATGGATAGAAAAAATACAGAATGCTTATATAATTGATTAAATATGTATTAAGTAATTATTATATTAAAGTATATATATATATTAAATATAGAATAGAATAGAACAGAAAAGAAATATGTGAATCAATTGCATCAATTCATGTCAACATGGATACAGTTTAAGTATTAGCTTCTCTGGTCTTTCCTAAATTCTCATGGCAAATTTGCAGTTTCCTGCCAGTGTTCTCAAAGAACTCTTCTAAAATATTGACATAGTGCTTACTTAATGATGGCTTTTTCAATGGTTTACTTTGCTGTTAAAGTGAAAACTTTTCAGGGAGTTCTCACCTCTGCCTCCCAGCACCTATTCCACTTTGCACAGAACAGTAGCTGATGAGAAAGTCACTTTGCTGTATCCTGTTGAAACGTTGGCACCCAGTGGCCCTTTACAGTGGTCAGAAGTAGTTGATGAGAATATTCCTCTGTCATTTTCATCCTCTCCTGTCTTTTGACACTCCAAAAACATCCTTAGTCCTCTTCTTTCTTATTCAGTCACACATCCTCCCCTTAATGTTTTACTTTAAATGCCAAGGCTAGGTTTATTGCTCTTGTTCTTGATTTTCCCCTCTCAATTTAATCTAGTAAGTCCCAAGTTTTCAATTCTGTAAATATTTCAACAGAATTGATGCAACCTATTTAAATAAGCTCTACAGCTTATCTATGCTTCATGTATTTTCATATGTATGTATATATACAAATATATACACATTTAAGTAATCATTTACCTATTCTTTTCTCAAAAGAATAGAGCTCTAAAAACATAATAATTATCTCAAAGTTGCCACAAGTGGCGTATTTATTTGCCAGTGTAAATTTTTATAGGCTGTCAACATCTGGGACAAAGGGACAATACGCATTTAGTCACTAAAACCTGTAACTCTTGGTTTCATTACATCTACATTTTCACTTTTGTGACTCTGATTCTGTCCTTAATTAAGTTCAGAAAGAATTAGTATAAATTTCATATTATTTTTTTTTCTGCTGTGAAACAAATGATGATTCTAAAGCTTTGAAGCATTCTAGCTGGGAGTAATAAGGATCCCAGGAGGGTGGCTACAGAGAAGTTGAGTTTGATTTGGAGCATGGTAAATTGAAGTTCATGGGAAGTCATGTCGGAGACATTCAGTGGGTTTTGGAGAATACAGAAAGGATCCGAAGCTGGGGGAGGCATGAACTGCATACAGCAATGAGCAAAGTAGAAGAGAATTAATCTTCTCAGGAGAAGATTCATAGTTGAACAGATGATAGAATAATCAAAAGATATGAAACAAGCCACATATATCATAAGATAGAAATTGTGGTAATTCTTTGAATGAAAATAACAATTGCTCATCTGTGGAGAAATCTTCTATTACTATGTTTAGTGGTTTGGGTCCCCACAACATTTTAGTCATCTTATGCTGATCTAAGAGGCACCCTGTTGAGGTCTCCATTAGTATTATGATTTGCCACTTTAGCCTCCACCTCCTGTTTATCTACTAAACAAACCCCAGTCCTCCTCCAGGTCTCAGCTCACACATCCCATTCCTTCATTCCTGCCATTGTTCACTCAGCAAATATTTCTCACATTTATTGAACATGCAGTAAATCTTGGGTGCAGTCATAGACCCTGCCTTTTCAAGGATGAAAAAAGAAGACATGTTTTTTTCCGTGTGGACCCTGAAGTCTAAACAAGGTCCTCCTCTCCTCCCACCCTCTTCTATTCCCTATGTTAGTTAGCTTTTTAGCACTGTGTCCAAAAACCTGACAAGAAAAAAACCCCAAACTTATTTTGGCTCATGGTTTCAGAGATTCCATCCATGGCTGGCCAATTCCACAGCTTTGGGACCAAGGTGAGGCAGAACATCATGGCGGGAGGGCATGGCAGAGGAAAGTTGCTGGATTTGTGTCAGCTAGGAAGCAGATAGAGCTTGAGTATAAGGAACTAGGGATAATATAATCCCCAGGAGCACACCCCAGTGACCTACTTCCTTCAGTCATGTCCTACCTGCCTATAATTACCACCCATTAATCCACTCGAATGGATTAATAGGCTGATCAAAATCATTTCACCTCTAAACAATCTTGAGTCTTCTCACACATGAGCTTTGGGGAGAAATCTTATAACCCAGTCCATAACACCACCCAAATCAACAGTTCTGGTGTATAAATTTCCTGCTGCTGTTGTAGCAAATAGTTGAGTTTAGTGGCTTAAAATAGCACAATTTATTATTTTACAGTTTGGGGCCACAGAAATCTGAAATGAATCTTAAGGACATAAAATCAAGGCTTTGACATGGCTATATTCCTTTGAGAGGCCCTAGAGTAGACTCCATTTTATTGTTCTTTTCAACTTCTTCTGGGCATCTGCCCCACCCTGCATTTTCAAGCCAACAGTGTGGAATCTTCAAATCTCTCTGACCTCTTCTTTTGTCACAGCATATGCTCTGACTATACCTCTTGCCTCCTTATGATTGCATTAGATCCACCTGGGCAATACAGGATTATCTGAAATCCCAACATCCTTAATTTAATCAAACCTGCAAAGCTACTTTTGCCTTACAAGGTAACCTATTCACAGGTCCTGAAGATTAGTTGTGAAGATGGAGGGGGTGGGGTGGGTTGTTCTGTCAACCATATAAGGTCTCCTGGGCTTCCTTAGCACTTTCTTTAATCTTTTTCAGCTTTCAAAACACTTAGAATTACCAGTTCAACTGACTGGTTTCCCTGTTTGTGAGTCCACTGAAGGTAGAGACCATCATCTCTCTTGTTCACTGTTGAACTCACGTTTCCTAAGATGGTACTTAGAGTAAGAACTCCAGAGCATCTATACTAAGTGACTACTTGAATGAACACATGAATGAATAATGAATGAAATGCTCAATAACATGTGCATGTTTTCCAAAGGTAGTGTTGTTGTTTGTCCTAAATATTTCTTGTCCCCTTATTTCTTGAGAAAATTAGAGATTTTCAAGAAATCTGCTTCTCAATAGTTAATTGATATCAACAGAAAATACTTAACTTTTAAAAAATTATGAGTGACTCACAGACTGTCAAGAATCTTTTGAAGTATATGAAAGGAACTTCTAAATTATGCAACTATGAATACTTTTTAATTAAAGGAGTTAATGAATATTCCACAGGAAAGAGCTGGCTTCCACAGTCTGGAGTTAATTGCCCACCCACACCTGATGGTTAATTTCTTTCTGAAATGTTTTTTTATTTTTTTTGTAGATAAAGCCTATCATTTACCACATCCCACATGGGTATAGATTAGTTGTCTCTCTGCACATGCTCCAAGCTTACCTCATTTTGCTTAAGGCAGGATATTAGCTGTGCATTCACTTTACTCTTTTCTGGGATGATGTGATTTTTATTGCACTAGTTGATTTACTTAGAAGCTTAGAACACAAGGTTATATCCATAAAATCAGCACAATTGCAGAACCTAGAGGATATTGTGTAAAAGGAAGAATTCACTTATTTTTAAGAAGATTTCAGAAATGTCCACTGTATTTTAATTTTCATTTGAGTGAATTGGTGGCTTAATCATTGAGATGTCTTTTTGCCTTTTTTATTTAGAAAAGACATCATGAATGGCTTCTTTTAAAATAGCAAAAACTTATCCACAACTATATGGCATGAGTCTTTTGTTTTGCTTTATTTTATTTTGTTTTTGTTTGGGATGGCCTGAAAAATATACACATATTTTGATCAAAAGAATTGCAGGGGTTGGGGTTGTAGCTCAGTGACAAAGCACTTGCTTAGAATGTGTGAGGCACTGGGTTTGATCCTGAGCACCACATAAAAATAAACAAATAAAATAAAGGCATTCTGTCCATCTACAGCTACAAAAGGAAAAAAGAAAAAAATGCAGAGAAGAAACTCAGATATAAAAATAAAAGACAAAGAAAGTAATGGCATGAACACACTCTGAGACAATGGAAGAGAAAATTTTATATCACTACTGATAAAGCCCAAACATTTACATGGTTCATAATCCATCACCACTTAAATTATGAAATAATTATAAGAAAAGAGAGAATGACAAGTACAATTTAGAAGTGAAATAAATGTGATAAGATAGAAAGAAAAAAACTTGTTTTAAAAAATATTTTCAATATCTTTTTATCAACAATAGCGAAACAAAAGACTCATGCCATATAGTTGTGGATAAGTATTTGCTATTTTAGATACAGTTATCAATCTCTCTAGATAAATACACAGATTTTTTTCACTGTAGTATTTTTAATGTTCAGAATGACAAATTTTTGGTCAACTAGTAATGGTTTTCCAAAATGCTGAGTTGATAAATACTTAGGTCTTATTTGACCTTAGTGGAAAAAGTAAACTGAAAAATCCTATCTGCCCTGCTATGGAATGGGATGATAGAACTCATGCCACAGGGGTATAAGCAACAATATTTGTAGTTTCTTTTAATAAAATTTATTGACTTTAAAAAAATCAAATATGACTTATATTGTTTCAATTGCAGTTTATTTTTACTAACCCTCTCTTATAAATATTATAATTATGCTTTCTAGTAAACAAGGAATAACACATTAGAAAAATTTGTTATTCACTAATTTTTATTTTTTAGGTCTAATTATTAAAGCTATTTTCCTTTAAAGGAATTTTTTGGACAAAGAATTTTAGATTGTACCTTATTTTGAAATATGTACTATTTGATGTCATTTGGTCAGAATATATTATAAAAAGTAGAAGATAGAAGGACTAATTTTGATATCAAATTATGTCATTATTGTCAATTTAAGATCTTTTGCCACATATTTCAGTGGTCTAAGCCATTTATTTAATCAAGGCTATATATTTTTTTAACTGGTGATTTTTTTTTATTAATGTTTAACAAGCATGCCCACCTCCAAGCATTGGTGTGCTGGAACATCTTTAACAAGCCAATTTTTGGAGTGGGGGACATGGGTGGTGCTGCACAGAAGCACTTATCTGTAACATTTGCCAACATTCCTATGCTGAAAATATCTACATAATCACTAATGTCAAGCCACCAATATGTTCTCATTGAACATGGAGTAGGGAAGATGTGTACGTGATCGGCATGAGCAAAGGAACCATATAAATTTCATTTTTAAAATGAGCATCTTAAAAAAAGGTCTACATCAAAAACCTACAGATACTTACACGATGTTTAACTGAGAGGTTTTTATACCCTCAAAATTTAATGAAATGTTTCTAAATTGCATAAAAATGTACTTATAACCCGACCAACACTCCACTGTTGAGTATTCTTTTCTTAGAGCAAGTATTTTGCTTTTTTTGTGACATCTCAGTTTTTTTTCCTGTCTGATAATGAGCAGGGCACATTATACCCAAGAGTATCAACAGGTCCCTGCAATAACAGAGGTAAGTCCTGTGTTTATTGAGACAAAGGGTGAAGGCTAACAATGCCACCACATAGCGGTCGGTGGATAAGCTAAGTTGTAGTGACTTTCAATTTTGTTTGAGGTTCTAATTTATCATTTTAGACCAATAGAAGCATAGCTTGAACCTGTAGTAACTGCTTAGCCCCTTCTTGCAGGAAAAACAGGGCAACAGAAGGCACAACTTCAATGCCTGGCCCAGAGTCTCCCCTCAGTACATGCTGGTTGAATGGGAGCAGGAGGAGTCTGAGATCTGAAGCTGTCATTAGTGTTTAATTAAAGCTGTCCATATGGTTGGGATGCTTACATCTCTGCATCATTTCCTTGAAGGCTGCTTTTCACATGAAGCCTTCCCCAATCACTCCAGTGAGACTTCTCCTTTTGTAAATTCTCATTCTTTTTCGTTTTATCATTTTTAATCATATGTCACTTCTGAACCAATCCTATCCTTGTCACTCAAGGATATTATAAGTTCCTTAAAGAAAGTAGGATCTCACTCATATTTGTTAGTACCCACTGTATTTTAAAAATGTCCTCAACATACTATATACTTTGTAGTTACTGATCAATTAATAAATACAAATACACATCCAAAGGTGAAATTTCAAAACAAATCACATACCTGAATACCACCTTTCAAATATGTTGAAATTTGCTTTGTATCATTTCTCCTTCTTCTAACAGTTACTGCCATATAAAAATTTTCATGTCTCTTTTATATTTTCTGTTCATCTGTTTTTCTCTCTAAGCAGTAGTTTTGTTTAAAACATTTTTCCCCTTGTATTTTTCTACAAATCAAGAAACAATCATATTCATATTTTTCTAGGGAAAAACCTTGAGAATTTTTACTGGCAAAATTATTCTAATTAAGAATTAATTTTTTCAGAGAATTTCATGATAATTATGAATTGGAATTTATCTCATAAACGTTGGCTGTTAATGCTGGGAATACATGAAGCCTACATGGTCTTCTCTGAGAGCTATGATACGTTTAGAGGGACCCCCAAGTAGGACTTGTCACCATTTAGAAATACCATCTCACATGAGGAAGCTGTGGCCTTGAGAATGTCAATCAAAAAAGAGGTCATAAACTCCCAAGTAGCATCTATTATTTCTTTCCTATCAAGTACATTCAGGGGCAAATTTAGGCAGTTTTACTGTGAAAATAAAGCTTACTTTTCAGGGTCTGTCATACAGGTCCCTTTAAAATTTGTGGGACAAGCCGCAGAAATGGATCTTTGACTTAAAGTGTGAATCCCAGATTGTGTAAACCTCAAGCATCACAAAACAGGGCTGTTCCTCTGGGCACACCCATCAAGGAAACTTGTGATATCATGGAAAGCATATCCTTAGAGGCCTCTGTTCTATCCTTGTTTAGTTCTAACTTGTTAGATATCTTTTCAAAATCATTTAAACTTGCCTACCCCATTTGTCTATCTGTGAAATGATACTGGTAATTAAACTACCCTGCCTTCTTCTCTTGAGTTATGTGATAATTATCTTAAATAACATCCTAACAATAAAATATCCAAGTTCAGAAATAATTAGTAATTAACTGAAAATGTAAAAATGAAGAGGCGTTTGGAATTATTATTTTTAAACAAGAGGTCACTATTGTCTTGACACCATTCAATGAAGTCAGCAGCAAAAACGTCTGTGAATATTCCCTAACTGAAGTCTCTGTTTTCTTCCTACAGAGGAAACTTCACAGTCAAGCTCTCACGACAAGTCAGCCTTAATCCTGGATTGCAGTGGCTTAACCTTTTTTGACTATTCTGGTGTCTCCATGCTGGTTGAGGTATTTACAGTCTGTGTCTGGATTGATTCCTTCCCTTCTCTTTAGTAACAGGGCCTTTTTAAAAATTATTGGTGCATATTAATTATACAGAATGGTAGGTTTCACCGTGGCATATACATACATATAACATATTTGAGTAACAGGATTTTTCATCAGCCATTCTCTCAGCTCCGTAGTCTGATATTCCTTCCCTTGAAGGGACATAAGACCTTGTACTTCACACCACTGAAGATTTGCTTTTAGGAGATCCCATTAAGCTTTTAGGTATGTACATGTGTGAGGATCAGAGATGGAGTATTTACTGGGTAGGTATAAAACATAGCCTTGAGATGTGGTGGGCATAGCACCTATAGCAGTTGGTGTGCAAGGTTTCCAAAAGAGTAAAAGTCCCCTACAGGACGCCGATTGCATGATCAAATGGTCTTGTTCTCTCACATGGTGGCCCAATACTATTCCTGGCCTCTCAAAAAGTGCCCCACTCAGGGGCTTTTCTCTATTCTCTTTGGCAATGATGCCTCCTCTATGCCATGATTTCCATGGCTTCTCCATGACCCACATGTGCAAAACACAAAGTCCATTGTTGAAAAGCCCCTTAACTCACAAAGCTCATTTCCACAGATGGGAGAACACTTAATTTTGTGAATTCAAGGAAATTAAAGACACTTCTGGCATTTGTTTTCTCTTTCTATTTTTGAAAAATAAATACTAAATCAACAAGGAATTCGCCCCCTTCCTTGCTTCCTTCAGTTCTTCCCCTCAGTATTCTAAATTGAAGATTGGGGTGGGACAACAGATTGAGGGTGGAAAAATCTCTATTCTCAGTCCTCCACTAGTGTCTGTGCACCAGTGTGGCTGGTCCCCTAGCAATCTTTATCTCCTTCATATCCAATCTTCTTATCTTCATATCTCCTGAGCAGCTTAGTATTAACTCAAAGCCTTAATCAAAATAACTGTGAAAGTTTCTAGAAAATTTTCTCTGCACATCTTTTTCCTTTCTATATTCTCTCTACCATCTGCCCTCCCTGAACTCCTGTTCTGTCTTCTCAATCCATGTAAGCAGCTCATTTTGCTTGGATCTCTCCAATCAACACCAAAGTGGATTTGGGAATCCGCTTTATGACAACAAGCTGAGCTCTGGAGGACTTGCCTCATTTGTCCTGCTGCTTTTAGGAGACTTGGTCCTAAACAACTGGAGGCCGATTGTCTAAATACAGTTGTTTATATGTTGTTGTCCAATTGTCTCCTTATTTGTGGAAGATGGGTTGGTCTCTCATTAGTTACTCATTATGGTTAAAAGTAGAAATCAGACATTAACTTTTTTTGGGGGGGAGGGTACTGGGGATTGAACTCAGGAGCACTCAGCCACTGAGCCATATCCCCAGCCCAATTTTATGTTTTATTCTATAGACAGGGTCTCACTGAGTTGGTTAGCACCTCGTTTTTGCTTAGGCTGGCATTGAACTCATAATCTTCCTGCCTCAGCCTCCAGAGCCACTGAGATTTCAGGTGTGTGCCACCACGCCCGGCCAGACATTGATTTTTAAAGTATTTGGATTTGTAGCTTTGACATTGTTTTACATTGTGAATTTTGATGGTTTTCTTGTGAGAATGCAAACCTGAGTCTCTATTCATTTGTATTTTAAATTGATTTTGAAATGTTGAACTTTTCAAAGTCAAGGAAGTACAGAGGTAAGCCGTCTTGTCACTTTTCTAGGCAGGAGCATGTGGAGGGAAAGCACTGGCTCTGCCATACACACTGAGGTGTCAATAGTCATGTCCCCTACCTGGATCTCAGTTGATTCCTTTGTAGAAATGAGGCAGTGATTTTGATTCTGGATTGGGCGATATATCAAGAAAATAAATAATACAAAACAATTGAAATTTAAATACTTCAGGTTTTAAATCTATTGGCTAGTTTTGGCAAATTACCCTTTTATACTTTTTTTCCTTCTTTTTTTTAACATAAAAGCTTTGTACAGTATACCAAATATTTTGTATTTTCTTGCAACTAAACCTGGATTGCAAACACATAGCCATTCTCCACTGGAAGGCTTTTTATGTTCGGCATTTTTTATTTACTTGTGTTTCCAAGGTCTTCAACTTTTATGCTTCAAGGTAATCTGGATGCTCCTTCGAAATGCATTTGTTTGAGTCCTAGTTCTGATCTAGAATATTCATTTAAACAACTCTGGATAATTCTAGGTGGCCAGGGATCATATTTTGAGAAACATGAGACTAGAATTGTTCTTTTACTTGGAAAGGCTGGTATGCATATTTTTTGATCAACTGCATTTTAAATTTGCTTCTGAAATTATTAGCTGCCCTCTCTAGACATTTAAAAACAAGACAGGATTATAAAAGAGGAGGAAGTTGTTACCTCTTCCCATTGAGTTTAGGTTGACAATTCAGAGGAATCCAAACAATCTAAGCACTGGGCATGTTGAAAAAGAACTTTTTTTTTTTTTTGGTTTTTCTTTTTCATTTATGGTTTTAAAATTTTATACCACCGAATGGTGAAATAAACCAACAGATGCAATCTATTTATTTAATTGTATTTATTTATTGTGGTACTGGGGATTGGACCCAGGTTATCATTCATGCTAGGCAAGCACTTGACCCATGAGCTTCATCCCCAGCCCAATTTATTTTTAAATTGGCAGAGAATAACATTTGCCCTTGGCTAGGTGTATATATATCTGTATATACAAAGCCGGTGGTTTTATATTAGTATTCCCTTTAAAAAAAATTTCTTATTACTATTTGATTCATTTCCTCATTATTTAAATAACATTATTATATACAATAGACAACTTAACATGGGTAGGATCAAATGTTTGTTTGCATTTCTAGGAACCAGTAGTAGAGGTATCCATTTCATCAAGTTATGAGATTTAGAATGGATATATAGCATATAAAGCACTTAAGAAGCTGGGTGTGTTGGCCCATGCCTGTAATCCTAGCAACTCAGGAGGCTTATGCAGGAGGACCTCAAGTTATACGCCAGCCTGGACAACTTAGCAAAACCCTGTCTTTAAATAAAAAGTAAAAAGGACTGGGAATATAGTTCAGTGGTAGAGTGTCCCTGGGTTCAATGTCCAATGCCAAAACAAACAAAAAAATCCACCTAATAAAATGTCTGCCAGTTGATAAGTACTCAATAATGTTAGCTTTTCATTTTCTAATTCTAACAAGTCATCTCATAAAGTACAACTAATATCATTCCAACTAATATTATTTCTTAGTTCCAGCTACCCTGGAAGAGAAGCCAGAGAAAAGAGCCACAGGACCTCTTTAGCCAGAGATGTTAACACTCCCTTGGTTAACACTTCTTGGTCACTTTACCATAAGGAACATTTCCCTGGAAGTTGTAGGTTGAAGGAAGTGGGATGACTTCTATTTATTCTTTTACTTGGGACACTAGAGAGGTCAGTGAACTGGAGATTATGTTTATCAGCATCAACAAACCACCCATAGCAATGTGTTTGTGCTCCACTGAGCTGAAGAAAAAGTCAAACACTGAGAGGTCACCTTGAATTAATTATTTTAACACAAGCAGGAGCCAATTATTCAATGTCAAAGTCTCAGTCCATATTTTATTTTCTTTTATGTTTCGTTTGATCATTTTTCCCCAAGTGATATAAATATTATTTCACAATTAGTCTTTCATAGAGAAAATTATTTGCTGCTGAAAGAATCTGAGGGACCTTTGGGATGTATTATATATACCCTTAGACTGTATTGCAAATGTAGATTTCTACACTTTTCATGAAAGATATATAACAATTATATAACCAAATTTATCCTCCTGAAACTAAAATGTCTAGATTTCCTGTCATTGAATTTCATGGTTGATTTTGTTTTGGATGAATTTAAGATCAAATATTTTCACAAATTGTGTCTTCTTGAGATGTTTTTGGAACTTAAGAGGCAAGACCATAAAGTATGCCAAGGAAATTAGTAAGGCTTTCTCATCTTGATAGACCTTTAAACATGGAAGTCCAGTTGGGTCCAAGGTCCATGTCTGTAATCTGAGAGTGGGAAGCCTGAACCAGAAGAATTGAAAGTTCCAGGCCAGCCTCAGCAAATAAGTTAGGTCCTAAAAAGATTAGTGAGCTATCTAAAAAAAAAAAAAAAAAGAACTGGAGATATAGCCCAATAGTAAAACGTCCCTGGGTTCAAATTCAATGCCAAAAAAAAAAAAAAAAAGTTGGAAAACCAAAATTGTGTGAATCATAGTAATATTCTCAATTTTTCATCCATGGGTGGAATTTATCCAGTCCATAGATATGCTAAATTATTGTAAAATATTAAAATATGCAGCAGGTCAGCAGGTTAATTTCACAAATGGGTTCTTGATTTACAATAAAAGTGGTTGAGAACAGTTTTATATCATTCTTACAGGAAAGGAAAGGTGATGTTTTGATTTTTATTCAATCAAGTTGAAAACGTAAGCAGCCAGACTTAATTGTAGTAAAGGTAGATGCCTCACTCATACCAACCTTAGTCTTTTAGATGCTTGCCAGTTTGTGACCAACTATGTAGCCATGTCTCCCTCTGGTGGTTAACTTCATAATTTTTTATTTATTTTTTTAAACAAGACACTCTCAATTCCTGTTTTATTCCTTCTTGCTAGCTATTCTGAATTAATTGTGGGTGTATTGTTTTAATTTTTCCAGGTTTACATGGACTGTAAGGACCAGAGTGTGGATGTATTGTTAGCCAATTGCACAGGTAAGAGGGTGTCCTTGGCTAACACTGAACATGATCCTTCTATTGCTTCATGTATCTTGGTATTTCCTTTGCTTTCTTGTAGCTTCCTTGATAAAAGCAATGAAGTACTATGGAAACTTAGACTCAGAGAAACCAATTTTTTTTGAATCAGTATCTGCTGCAATAAGTAACATCTATTCAAATAAGGTAAGTGGATAATACGAGCTTGCAAGAGTTGTAAAAAATATAGAATATAGAATTAAGGCTTTGCATTTTTCTGTGTGTGTGTGTGTGTGTTAGTTTTTTAACTCATCTAAAATCTATTAAAATCCCTCCAATCTCCACCTCAGAGTATCTGTAACAAAAAGTAATATTTCCATTCATCTTTGGGGGACAGTTATGAATAATTATTTAATAATTTGCATCTTACTACAATGTCACTACTTAGAGGATTTGGCCTTACCTATCAATTGCAAACTGTTTGCTTTAATGCTTCTTCTGGGATCTATTGTCCTAGAAGTTTGAATCCACCTCTGACAAATATAAAAACTCTAAATATAGCTTTCCAGTTTTTCTGCTCTGATGCTTTCCTCCAAGCTTATTAGAGTGCCATCTTTGGGAATATTATTTGCAGATTCTAGTGCTCCCATGATCTAAGGTATGAAAGTTACCTTCCAAATATCGGACTTTATGGCTTAGTTTTAAAACTGTTCCCAGCACTGAGACTTCCTGCACTTTTTCTGTGACTTTTGAATCATTTTGCCTTCCCTCATCCCTAGAACAGTATTTGGTGCCTAATAGAATCATCTTTATTTTATTTAGTTAGAAGAGTATGTATTTACAAAATAATAATATTTATTATGATGATTATCATCATCATCCCCATTATATACCTGACATATATTAAGTGCTTACCATCTTCTGGGTATATTCTAAAGGTTACAATCTATATTGTAAACTTGTCCCAACTTTAGAGGTAGATACTATTATTTAACATTTTTCAAAATGGGGAAACTGAAGGCCAAGGACATTATGCCATTTGTAAGTGGAAGAGCTGGTTTCAGAGTTAGCAGTCTGACCGTGGGTCTGGAGCTGTAAACTTCATACTCTCCTGCCTCATAGAATGTCCATTTTATTAGTGTGTCTAGATAGCTGGCTTCTCTTTCTACTGTTCTTTTACAATGGTACTGATTTAAGAGTTGAATAAGCAGTGTATGTTTATTTCTTCCTCTTCTATTTCAGAACTTCAACAAACTCGGTGACCACAGTGAGGTCTGAGCCCCATTTGTTGCAGTATGGATCTTGACTCTAGGAACTTCTCTGAAAAAGCCATGTACTGGCATTTTGCACATTTTTAAAAAAATTTTATTGTATCGATCCTGCATGTGATCTCCACTCCAATAAGTTGATGTGACTTTGTAACTGCATTACGTTGGTCAAGATTTGCCAAAAGTTTTTTTTTTTTTTTCCTAATCTTTTGTTAGTAAGGAAATTCACTTAGTTATTTTATTAAAAAATCACTATGCATTTAGCTTTAGTTTATAAAGGATAAACATGATTTTATTTCATTTTATTACAGCATTTTGTGTTGTTTTACTTCTATTTTGCTGTAAGCTTATCTTTAAAACTGAGAAATTTGGAATCCTTAGAAGTCATTTGTAAAAGTTCAGATCATCTGTAACTAATACACAAACCAACTTGGTAAATATGCCATTTTCCTGTACCTTCTATCCCCCAAAGCCATTTAAACACCAATAGGAATAAATCTTACTCTGTACAATAGGATATGAAATTCACAGAAATAAAGGAATCAGAAACAGATGACCAAAAAATGACAAATTGAAGTCATCGATCTCTATTTCCTTCAATGCACTCACTCCTGAAGTATTCAAGAATGTTTTAATATTTGGAAGAAAACTGGTATCCAAATAAAATCAAGTTCTTGACATTGGTCTGTTTTTGCTTTGAGTATTGGAAATGCTTAGAATTTTCACACAGAATGCTCCAAATTCCACATTCCCACCCTACAAGAAGCTCTGTTTTCTGTTTTAGTTTTATTTGAGCTAGGGAATGTGGAAGTACATTATATCTTTTCTTCACAAATATGATGTTTAGGTGAGAAAATGCCACCAGTAGAATTGCCATGTGCTCCTCCACTGTAAGATTAACTGTTGTACTTTTGACTTAGTTTAGAGAGACAGTCAATAAAATATATTTATCTATTCATATCCAGATAGATAGGTAGATGAATGGGGTCTACATAGAATGTTTTTTCCTTTTGATAGCTAAGAGCTTGGATATGATTATATATAGACTTACCAAACCAACCAGAAAACTGGCAAATACTAATGGCCAGGCTGAACAGGATAAACTAATGTTTTCATGCTTGTATATATATTGTGTGCAAGCACATAATTTCACATTTTTCTCTAACAAACTGATCTATCTAGGAAGAAATCTCATTTTCAAAATAGGCATAGATATACAATTATTATTTAGTCTTAATGGTGTTTTAACTATTCTAGAAACTACCAGTGTAAGAAAAAGCCAGGTATTTCACAAGTCTGACAAGCAGGTTGAAATAAAATGAAGACTGTCATGTATGTTCTTTCATGGGCTCTATAAGAGTCAATCCCAGCTCCTGTCAACTGGTTTGTAATGATCTCTAACAAATGTGTGGTAAATATTCAGATGATCCTTAATTTTAACATTAACTCTCAGGTAGGGTAACATAATAAAATGAAAGAATAATCAATGTTTTAATTATCATATGTATCCAAGCCATTTTAATTTTTATTGAATGAACTATAAAGAATAATCTTGGTCCCCCAAATAGACACAATCCTTTTGTTACTAGTTTTGATTGAAATAAACAAGGGTAACTCATATTCCCATCAAACACTGTTCCAGAGAAAGGTGGAGGCAGTAATTGGAGGTAAAATGTTCTTATTGAAAGGATTTTCACTCTGCTTTATCCAATTAAATAATTCCCATGGTTTGGTAGTAATATTCACCATTTCTAACCCACTGGTCACTGGCAGATAAACATGAGTCAAGGAAAGTCAAGAAAAGAAAATACATTTGACTGCATATAAATTGATATTTCACTATGCAACTTTAGCCTATAATTGAATTCATGCACTAGAAGCATTTTCTAATTTGTTAGAGATTATGGACCATGGATGACATTAAAATCATTATGTTAATCAATGAATAGTTGTTCCATCTTATTGTTAATGCTGACACCGTATTGTCTGAACAACTGCATTTGAATGCATTTCAATGTTTATAGTAGAAGTTTAATGGATAAAACTTTAAAGTCAGTATCTTGGGTATCAAATTCAAAGAAAAGGAAGACCAGACCATGAACTGCATGAAGTCCTTTACCCTAAGGTTTATCCCTCACACCAAGGACCCGATAGCTGATAACCTGGAGAAAGTCCCTTAAATTAAGGTCTCAGAGTCCAAAAGCTGAACATGAGTTTTAGACACATGAGAATTCTAAAGCATAAATGTCTATTTAAAAGCAGGAATTGACAACACAAGAACTGTAATATGGTCCCAATGCTAGATTGTTTCTGAATCACACTGAATTACTTTTATGGGATCATCTTATTTTTATATATGATAAACTACTTCCATATTACTTATTATGGTACAGTAAAATTGGAAAAAATTAAAATTGACCTATAAAAGTGTTAAGGACCTAGTATAGTGACATATATAAATTAAGTATAAAATATATAACCAGGAAAAGACTGTTAACATTACATTTATGCAAATTAAATGCCCTTAAATTTTTCCATTTGTCTTTCATTTTAAAGGTTATTTGCCCCGATTATATAATTCAAGTGTTATAAGGTTTAGCTTAAACTACTTTGTAGTAATTTATTTGACAGATATCTATTCTATAAATGCATAATGTAATGAGAAAAGAGATCTTTCTTTTTTAATGAAAACATTAATCTGTTAATACTCCACATGAATAATGCTTGACATTTAGTGGTACCAAAATATGTTGGTGTGTTGTTGAACATAGATTCGCCTTAGAAATGCACATTCTGTATTCTGTGAGATGATGATCTAATTCAATATAGAACATGCTTTTTGGCAGTGAGTTTGTTGCGAGATTTCAAATAGGGAGTTAAGTGGTGCTTTCATAATCCAAAGATTTTTAGTTAAAAATCACGTAGGCTAATATGCTGCACTTATTTTTTTATATTTTCCAATGCATTTAATTATCTTTTTTTATAATTCTTTGTACTAACTCAGCATGTAACAACCAATTTACATGGAAATAAATTGAAATATGATAACTATTATGCTTAAATGGATTTGTGTCCATTATTTCACAGTATTTACTCTCCCGCAAAGCAAATAATACATATTACTTTCTTGGACTGACCACAGTGTAATATGTGTTACAAATTCCTGCAAGTACTCATTTTTCCTAGTAATTTGTTCTTATGAAATTTAAGAACTGATTTTTAGACTGCTGATAAAGATACGTTTTGCTACAAGGGTACATTTATACAATCCTCTTTTACCGGGTTTGCATTCTTTTTCTTCTAATTTTAGTTAATGTGTAAATTTTTATTTTTTTTACTTGTACTCTTTGGGTTCATTATATTCTGTTGTCTGTCTTTCCTAAGTTTCTAGGATAAGTTCAATCTTCCTCAGCATGTTAAAGATTGCTGTTCCAATGTCAATATGATAAGGCAGTATTCAGGTGTTGGAGATACAAAAGTGAATAAAACAAGAAATTCTTTGCCTTCATGTAGCTTATGTTGTAACCAGGGAAGACAAAAATAATCAAGATAAATTTAAATACATTTATTGAAATTTAGATGATAATATGCATGAAGAAGATGAATAAATTGAGCAAAGTATGATGATGTGGGGAGTTGCATCCCTAGATAGGGTGGCAGGAAGATTACTAATGGTAGGTTCTTAGCTTAGGCTGCTAACACAAAATACCAGTCTAGGTGGCTTAAATATGCAGAAAAGTATTTCTCATAGTTCTAGAGGATGGGAAGTCCAAGATGAAAGTGCTGACCAATCTGGTCTCTGGCAAGGGCTTTCTTTGTGGCTGGTAGTTGGCACACTCTTACTTTGTTCTCAAATGGGGTGAGAGAGAACTTCTTTATCTTATAAGGACACTAGTCTTCGATGAATGGGACCCAACCTGATGACCTCATTTAAAAGTTAACCTTCTTGTAGATTCTACCTTCAAATACAGTCACATTGAGTGGGGGCATATAATTCAGTTCATCGCAGTCTGTTCCTGGCTGTCCCAAAATTCATGTCCTTATCACATGCAAAAATACATTCATCACATTCCACAATTCCAAAAGGTCTTAACTTGGTTCAACATCAACTCTGAAGTCTAACATCCAAAATATCATCTAAATCTCACATACCATACGTCATATATGGGTGAGAACACAGGCATTTTCTAGGCAAAATTGCTCTTCATCTGTGAACCTGTGAAACCAGACAAGCAATCAAGCAATGTACCGCCAAAATACAATGGCAGGGCAGGCAAAGGAAAAGTGTTCCCATTCCATAAGTTGGTACAAGAAAAGACAGGAGTGAGGGTCCCAGTGAAGTCTAAAACCTAGCAGATTCCATTAGATCCACTGAATTTTTTTAATGTTCTAAAAGAAAAAATTAATGCGTTTCCACTTATCAAAATTGGTTCTTTCTAGTTATACATAACAATTGAATCCTTTTTGACATAATTATACAAGAATGGAATATATCTTGTTCTAATTCAGACCCCAGTATTTATCCTTTCCCTACCCTCCTCACACACCCTGCTTCCTTCCCTTTATTGCTCTTTCGGCCATTTACCCAATGTCATTATTATTTTTAAATTAATTTGTGGATGTACACGATGGTAAGATTCACTGTGGTGTATTCATATATGTACATAGATGCTGGGAGCCATTAGCCAAGTAAGTATGACAATTTCCTTGCCAGCGTACCCCATGTTAATTGTGGTAGTGCTGACATATCTTTGCTGATGGTGTCACCAGTGATGCAATTTTTCCCAAGGAGCCGTCAATTGGCTTGGTGTCGTGGCATTTCTGTATCCTCCTCCCTTCTGCTAGTGATGGTCTAAAATTTGGGGGCCAATGGCTTATGCTGGACCGGTAGTCAGTGACGGGTATGATCCAATTGCAGTGGTATCAACCTAAGACAGGAGGCTGACGCCTAAAGGTCAGTTTTCCGATGACGGGTAAGAACCATATGTTGAATTGGACAACCTACCAGGCACGGTCCTTAAGCCACATTGCTTGTTGTTTAATTAATCAGAAGGGGGGAGATGCTGGGAGCCATTAGCCAAGTAAGTATGACAATTTCCTTGCCAGCGTACCCCATGTTGCAGTGACATTGAATGTACTTAACCTTGCTCAAGGACCAAGGCAGATTAGGGTGTTCCCGGTTTTAAGATAATCTTGTTTAGGGCGTTCCCAGTTTAGGTTCCAGGTTTAAGGTTTAAGATTATTCCTGCTGGGAATAGGGCGTATCCTGCTGCCTGAGTTCCCCTTGAGTTCTCACGGGATTCAGACAGTATATTTTGGAGATAGAAGCCCAGTGGAGGTGGATTTGGGAGAGAAGGTGGATTTGGGAAGAGAACGTGGATTTCCCCAGAACGTGATTGTAGACGGCTGGTGTGAGTTCGGGAATAAAGAGTTGCTGTTTGAATCTACAAGCTGTGTGGTGGCTCGTGATTGTGTGCCCAGCCAGACTGCGGCATTTGTGCCCAGCCAGACTGTGGCACATAGAAAAGTTATGTCAGATTCATTAAATCTTAAGGCTTAAAGATAATCTTCTTTGCTTGGATGTTGCCCCACCTTTTGGACCCACAGGTGTTACAGTCCTGGTTCAAGGCTCCACTGGGTGGTTTCACCTCCATGGGTCTGCAGGATGGTCCTACCCC